TTCTGGACCGCCGACTTCTGGACCGGAACCGTCGACTTCTGGAGTGGAGGCGGAGCCGCTGCAGGAGGTGCTACCGACTTCTGGACTGGCCGGCCTGGGGGAAGAGCCTCTTGGGTCACCGCCGGGTCCAGAGCGGACCAAACTGGAGGCGCCGGAAACTGGGAGAGCAGGGAGGACAGACCATCCAGCTGGAGCTCCTGGAGACTGAGGGTCTGATGGAGTTGGGCCAGCTCAGCTCGGAGACCGGCGAGCTCTGCTGGGTGGACCACGGGCTCGCTCCTCTGGCCCTGAGACGAGGGAGCTGCTGACTGGACTGAAACCTCCTGGTGATTCGGGGAGGATAGGGTGTCCAGGTGGGACTCCTGGAGGCTGACGAGCTGACGGATCTGGCCAAGCTCCGCCTGGAGACCGGCGAGCTCTGCCAGCTGGGCTGTAGGTGTGGTTCCTCCGCTTGCAGATGACGGAGGCGCTGATCTGACCGGAGACGGGACTGCTGGTCTGACTGGGGGCGGATCCAAGCTGGTGCGCCGAGCCGGGGCAGCGGCGAGCTTGCGGCTCCGTCCTGGGACACAGGGTTGCGGTGGCGCCCAGCATCCTTCCCCATGCCGTGGGCCAACTCCAGGGAGCACACAGCCAGTCTGGTGCCCACGTAGCAGGAGCGGTCTGGCAGCATCTCCCGGTCCAACCTCTCATCTGGCTCCGGGAGGGTGGAGAGGATCGCAGAGGCTGAAGTTCGGTGGAGGCGTCTGCGGTGAGGCGACGACAGAGGAGGAGAAGCCGGCCGGTGGTCCGAGAAGAGAAATTGGACCAGGCACTCCCAGGGGAGAATCTCCCCACTGGATCCTTTAGTGGGGTGGATCATTCTGTCAGTGCGTGCCGGTGAGTGAGGCAGATACAAGGATCCACACGCGGGTGAGGGAAGCAGGCAGGCAGACAAACCAGAATGAGTTTGGAGTCTTTAATAGTGAACACACGCTGGACAATGAAACAATGATCCACAAAGAGACACAGAACTGAAGGGGTTTAAATACAAGAGGGCTGGGAGCTTGGGTGATTGGAAAACGAGAGGCAGGTGGGAGCAATTAACAGAGACACATGGCTGAACCAAATGGGGAGACAGGACAGGGTGTGACATAAACCAAATGTTCTACAAAAAATACAGAAATAAAATAATCCAAAACACAAAGTCAGGAAATGCGCCCAAAGGTGGTATTTGATATAAGGCCTTATAGGGCTCTACAACCCCCCAAGGTGCTTTACAACACAGTCATCCACATTCACATACTGGTGGTGATGTGCTACAAAGTAGCCACAGCTGTCCTGGGGCACACTGATGGAAGCAAAGCTGCTGAGCACTGGTGCCACTGGTCTTTCCGACCATCACCGACAGGCAAGGCAGGTTAAGTGTCTTGCCCAAAGGACACGACAACTACAACAGATGAGGCTCAAACCTGCGACCCTCTGCTTCCGGGGCAAGCACCTATCTGCTCTGCCACCATTGCCCCTTTTCTCAAGATCAAGGTCACCTTGACCTGGAGCTTTTCCGGAGGGCTCTGCCACCATTGCAGTCATGTCTCTGCTCTACGATAGTTTATTTACTATTGTAATTTGTATTGTGTACATGTATTTTAGAGAGTTTTTAGTCAGTGCGTTTACATGCAGCCAGTAACCCTTTTAAAACCCGAATGTTCACAATAACCCGGTTCCACAGGTCCTTGTGAACACCGCCAAAAACCCGGATATGCTCATAACCGGGTTTTTAAAAACCCGGTTACTACACCTGGGGTAACCCTTTTCTAACCCGAATGTTTGGTCGTGTAAACGCATATCGGGATATCCCCATCAAAGCGTGTGTTCTGCACATGCTCTGTTCGCAAGGAATCTTGGTCTTTTGAGAAGCGAGACGTCTTGTATGCGCCAGAACACCGGAAGTAAACAACAAGTTGGGAGCAAAATGGCGAGTCGCGGCACAGCACCACACTTTTGGAGTGACGAAGAAACTAAAGCACAAACAAACGCGGTCGCTATCCCTTCCGAACTGGGAAACACGTTGTTTACTGGAACAAGAAGAACCGGAAATGACGCATATTGCGTCTGGACGTAGTCCATACGTCCTGACGCTACCCCAACGTCCACATTTAAATCGGATTATGCAAGTTAGGGGTAACTCTTTCTATTTATGCTTGTAAACGGTTTATTCTGATCAACTCAGAAACCCGAATACCGACCTTAACCCGATCATAACCCGGATATTGGCTGCATGTAAACGTACTGAGCAAGGAAGCATTTGTCCCTCATTATCCTCCACCTCCTCATGCACTCAGCCACCTCCAAACCCACATTCCCTTCAGTGAAGGATGGTAAAAACATTCGTATCATCTGAAGTCTTTCACGAGATGTTCTTCCATCAGCTCTGTGTCAGCTTCTAGCACATGGTGGTGCTGTCGTTGATTTTAAAGGAAACGACATCCTGACCAGTCACGGGCTTGTGTTCTCTGCAGCTTTTGATTAGATTTTAAAAATTGGCCATGTCTGTGTCGACACATCGTGGCATTGCATGTCTCCGTCACTGAGCTGGTGAAGAAATATAAACTAGGCTTAAGGGTCTACTGCAGATGGACACCTCTCAACCCCCTGTGCATCCGCCCCTGGAAGAAGCAGCTACAAATACTGAACTAGTACGGAGAATGTGTCAGGAACTTTCACACAAAAACATTTTACATCAACTCATTTTTACTTTACTGTTGTACAATTCAGGACCATTCAAAGGAAGAGCATAAAATATGTGTGCAATCGTACATTAGCTTTTATAAATTGGTAAAAGTTTTACAGTTTCAACTTCTAAATTTAGGTTTTTGAATAAAATTAAATAATTTTAAAAGTCACTAAAAGAGTCTTGCATAATCAACAGCATTGTGTGGATAGGCAGACATCTTGACCACTTTCTAAATATGAAACATCCTCAGCCAGAATCACTAACGAACTGCTGAACTTCCTGCTGAAATGTGGCCTAATTATGCTGCTAACAATAAACCGCCTGTAAAATCAGCCACCACACAGACATGATGCAATCCCTGAAGTGGTGTGTTTGAGAGGATTGGTTTAGTCACCAGGATGAGGTGGGTGGCTCAGTGTTCCTGAACAGTAATCCTGCTGCTCTCGTTAAACCCGTCACAACTGCAAGTTAATATGGAGGTTTGGGTAAAAGCAACAAGCAGCACCCTGCAGTGTTAGGTCTGAAAGAGATTTGTCTGAGAGGTAAGTGTGAGGTCATTTTCTAATTACCAGCAGTAAAATAATTACCACTCAGGACCACAGAAAATCCCAAGGAACTCAGAGAATATCGAGTTTTTTTTAGATTCCAAGATCATTAATTCAAATTATCATTATTCAGATGTCAACACTTTGCCAACATTTGGAAGAAGACCCAAATTGTCACTCTCAAATGAAAGGGAGTTTTTTTTTTTCATGTTTAGGAACAACCCAGGACCCATCAGTGTTTAAACTGGCCATGAACTGGAAGCGACCGGAGTGCCAGTGTGAGCAGCGAATCATGTTATACATCACTTTGGACTAAGAAGGTGCTAAGCCCCTATTTCTAAAGAAACACTAAGCTGAAACTTAAGCAGCCCACATGGAAAAGCCAAATGCTTTCAAGTGAAAGGTTTTATGGTCACATTAGACAAAGATTCAGTCAATAATGGAGATTTTTTACGAGAATGACAAGTTATAGCATCAAGATGGGGGTAATCTTTACAGTAAGTATACACAAATATGTATAAAACTAAAGCCTAGAGGCTCTTGTCAGGAATGCAAAATTGTCAAGTACATCGACAGCAGGAACGGCAAATCACACGTTAGCAAGTATCAGCAGATACAGATAATAGATCTTATGGATGGTTCTGATGGAAACAGGCTTCAACACAAGTGGTTGTTTTCTGCTTGGTCCTGGTGCTCAACCAGTGTCTATTTTATATAGTGTAATATTGTTTTTGGATGGTAAAAAGTGCAGGGGACAAAAATTGACTTAATTGACTATGTGCGTGATTGTGTACGTTTACTGGCAGACATTTGACCAAGGTATAGTTTCACAAGTCACAAGTTGAAAGTACTTTTCCTACCCTGAAGTGAGGGCATAAACGGGTAATGGTGCGTTCGATTTGTCCTCGAAACTCGGAAATCCTGACTTCCGAGTGGGAAAATTCAAACGAAACACTCCTCATAGTCAGACCTCCAAGTCGGAAACGGAAGAATTTCTCAACTTCAGCCTTGACATCCTAAATGGCAGCTCTCCATATCAACAACAGTAACTTTTGAGTGAAATTTGCTCATTTTACAAAACACACTTATAAAAGCATGTTTAAAACATGTAGTGCTTGCAACTTTAAGCTGAACATACTAAACGTTTTGTTTGCATGTTGAAAGTAAAGCTTGAAACTATGTTATTAGGAGGAATCTACAAACAATGGCTACTTGAGAGGTGTGCGTCGCCATTTTGTAATCCTGACTTCTCTAACTACTTTAGTTCAGCCTGACTTAGTGGCAGGGTGTAGAAACGAGGGCCCGGGCGGGATTCTATCCCCAGACTCGATCCCGGGTGAGAGTCACGCGCACTAACCAGTAAGCCAAAGGGACATCTCCTCAGTCAAGTAGCCAGAGCGCATGATCAATCGGGACACTTTGACAGGACGCTCACACTGTTACACTTATATGAACAGTTTTCAAGTCAGCCGACTCCAGTAAGTATCTTTTGTGATTTCCTTAGTCACCAGAATGACTTATGACCCAAATCTGTTTATTTTTCCATAAACATGAAGATGAAGACATGTTTTCCCACCTAAATGTTTCTGTAACAATTAAAGTGAAGCTGAAACTGTAGTTTTACAACTTGTTTACAACCACAGCAGCACCAGTAACACGGCCCACACTGTCATCTGGTGGTCGTAGTAGAGATTGCCCCAACTGGGTGGAGCTCATGGTAGCTGTACGTGATGACGTAGCTGTTGTTGTTTCACTCCAGGAAGTAAAGCCGAAATGGTTCTTGAGGAGCTGACGGTCCGTCTCAACGATAGAGAATACACAAACTGGCTGAAGGCTGGCCGGTGTCTGCTCATACTGAAGACCGGCCTCCACCCGTTCACCGACCACCGGATGAGAGCTCACCACAGAGACCTTCTCAACCAGCACGCGCTTCTGAGCACTCCGTGCGAGACGTCTTCTTGTAAACCAATAGGGAATAAAGTATGGCGATAACTTTCTGATTCTATTCCCTAAAAGCCCTCGTTGTTGTTTACGTCGCCTGTTCTTCTCGTGGTGTGCTTCTGGACAGCTTTCGTCGCCGTGCGGGGTGTGTTCAGAGTGGCAGAAGGTGATCCTGAGACACCACAGACAGCCTGGGGCCACCATCAACTGGGCCAACTGTTTCCCTCCTCACTGGAGGACAGACCACTGGGAGGTGGCCAAGGTGAAAAAACACACTCCGGTCTTTGTGTTTTTGTCGGTTTTTACGTGGATTACACATGAAATCCTCATCATCACACACAGACACACACACACTGTGGAGGAGTGTTCTACACAATCATTTAAATTCAGGCATATTGGGGGTTAGCTGTAGGAATGATCTGTTTTAGGTCAAAGGTCAGACGTTCTCCTTCAGGAGCAGGATTCATGGTTCCATCAGTTTCAGCAGGTGGTCCAGGTCCTGAAGCAGCAGAGCAGCCCCAGACCATCACACTACAACCACCGTGTCTGACTGTTGATGTGGTGTTTTAGTGTTAGTTTTACACCAGATGGAACAGGACACACACCTTCCAAATGTTCCCAAAAGTTCCAGTTTTGTCTCATCAGTCCACTGAATATTTTCAATCCCAGTTAAATTAAGATTTTTACATAGGACCAGCTTTGTTTGGATACATCTTTTTCACTATTACATAAAATCATTATTAGAAAGCAGCCTTTTTGTATTTAGTCAGGTTATCTTTCATTCATTCACATTTATTCTGACCTGGCAAAAACAAGAAATCTGTATGGGGACAAATACGTTTAAATATGTAATTCCAGTCCTGCTGGTAGGCTTTCTGAGATGAAAGCAGAACATATTTACAGAAATGGGTCGTGTTTTACATCTAAAGGAGAAACCATGCAGAACAATCCTGTTATATTATGTATTATAATGGAAATTATTCCAGTAAAAAATAAAAACAGCCTGACTTGTTTAAATTATTCTTTTAAAGGATAAAGTTCTGTTGGTTAATGTTCAAACAGTACCTCAAAACATCTGCATGATGCTCAGGTTCAGACAGTGGTGGGGTTTGTTTGTTTGTTTGTTTGTTTGTTTGTTTGTTTGTTTGTTTGTTTGGGCCACACAGAGGCACATTGGAGTTCTTGTTTGGTTCTCGTTCAGGCCTACATGCCCCGAGGTCAGGCCAAGGTCAGGAGGGCTGATCAGTGTGACGCTGCGGCTCTGCTCAACCTGATCAACTACTGTAGATGTTTCTGGTCTGTGGATCCAAAACTGGTGAGACAGGTAAAAACAGACCTTGTGTTTGTGTTGATGCATTTTGTGGATACATTTGAAACGCGAAGCGCTGCTGGGTCCTTGTCAGGTGCTGCTGTGATTAGGGGAAGGAATTGATACGTTCTTATCAATTTTTTGTATTTATGATAATCAGTTGTAAATGTATCGGTTGGAAAAATCTTTCCAAATGTTCTCCTTCATGCTCCCTGTGAAGGCAGAGTCATCTTCTTGTTCGGTGCAGTGTTGCTGTAGCTTTTGCAGATTGGGAAAAATCTCACCACAGATCAGACCTTTGTCGCTGGAGTCTGCTAGTGTGGAGGTGCATGTATACGGCTAATGATGCTAGTTGATTAGTTACCTGCGGTATTAAAAGCAGAGGACGTGCGAACGTCACCGCTGCTACTGCTGCGTTGAAATTCACTAATCCAGAGCACATCAATAACTTTTTGTATATTCATAGTGTTTCCTCTACTTCGCAATTATTGCAAGTTACCCTGTTGTAGTGTTGTCAAAAAAATCGATACCTAGATATAAATCGATACTAAAAGTGGTATCTAAATGAGATATTCCATCCCTGTGGTATCGATATTATGGACTATTATACACAGCCTTCTTCAAGTACACCGACACGCACGACAGCCAGATGCCGTAAAGCAGCCTCCGCCTCCCAGACAAACAGAAGAAGAAGACGCCGCATGGCTACATTGCAATTTCCCACGCGAGTTGTCTCCGATCCAAGTTTTGTCTGCCAAATAAATAAACAAAAACATAAACAGCGAATTTGGGAGGCGCTTCACAGCCCAACTTAATTAGCATACCAAGTCCGACACGTAGTTGTATATTCACGCTTATGTGCTTAAAGGAAACTCCTGTTTATTGCAACCCGGACTTAATGTCTAGCATGCAGTACGTTTGTTTACTCACGCTGACAACTTTGGTGCTACTTGGATTTCCCGGGGTATTTAGATCCATCGGCGAATCGCCGTCAGTGTATATCCATATAACGGGTGCGGACGGGCACCCATGGTGCAGCCTCGAAATAAGACATTATCTGCACCAAAACATCTCAATGTCGAAAGGGTTTGTTAGGAATCATTAACGTGATTTCCCTGTTCGTTTGGAGCGGGTCTGGTCTGGGATTTCTAGGCGTGAACAGACTAGCCGCGGCTAATCTAACCGGCGCTTTTAATGACGTCACTGCTGTGCGCCAATCTGTTTTTATTAAGATTACCGGTAGATGTACCTTTGTCCTACTGTGGAGAAATTCGTTTTCTCCCTTTACTGACCAACAGAGTTGTTCAAAAGTACAGAACAAAACATATGGCATTACATCTTATGACAAAAATGAACCTTAAACAGAGTTTAAGCAGCAAAACATCACTCTGCAAATAGTGTATATATAGTGAGACAATTCATGATTTAAAGTGTTAACTTTCACCAGTTTTTGTATGCACGTTTTAAAAAATGCTGATACTTGAAAGGTTTAAGCACTTTATACACTTAATTCTTAACATTTAATTTTTGCAATATAAATTGAGGAATGTTATTTTTTGAATAAACTTGTTCAATAAATTGGTGTTTTTAAATAGTATCGAAACCGAGTATCGAGTTTTTTTTTTCAAGTATCGAATCGAGTTTGAAATTTTAGTATCGTGACAATCCTACCCTGTTGTCATGCTTTCTTGTAAAATATAACCAAACTTTCTAGCATTTGTGCCACGGAGAGGCCATGTTTCCTGCTTCCGTAAGCTATGCAACGTGCACGATGACGTGATTCGCGCCGAGCGGAATTGATAAGGGGAATCATTAGCAAAAGTGGTGAACGATTTCTAGGAAATGAAACTATGGGAACTGGTTCCCACAAGAACCGCTTTTCGATTCCCAACCCCAGCTGCGATGCTTCAGGTTTTTGCTGAGATTCAAAAAGACAAACGAGAAGCTTCGCATCCCTAAAGGTTTTTCCCCGTTTTGAGCGACCGCCACCTTTGACGTCTTTCTCTACAGCATCTGCTACCATCGTCTTTAAAGCATCATTCCCCATGTGTTCATCGTGTGGACCTGATTACAGATCCAGCCATGGACGTAATTTTCACTTTAGAAGTGGGGGGGACGGGGGGGTATCTTTACAGTAGGCTCTAATGGGAAACAGGCTTCAACACAAATGGTTGTTTTCTGCTTTGTCCTAGAGCTCAACCAGTGTCAGTTTAATATAGCGTAATATTGTTTTTGGATGGTAAAAAGTGCAGGGGTCAAAACTTGACTTTGGGAAAAGTGGGGGGGGACATGTCCCCCCTGTCCCCCCCCCCCCCCCCAAAATTACGTCCATGGATCCAGCTATGGAGGCAAAGAACCATGTTCTCTTTCAGATGAGCCCCTACTCTAGAAACCAAGGTTAGGGTTTGAAAAGCTAGCTGTCTGCAAAACCTCATGGGTCATTTAATCAGGAGCTGCATGCAGACGATGTTTGGTGCTTTTTTATAAACTTCAGTAGCAGAGCTGCTGCTCTCTAATGGGCTCGACACACGGGAGGCGACAAACGACCGCGATCAGCGAAATTTGTCGCTGTCGCTTTTATTACCTGACACACGGGAGGCGATCAGCGGCCAGCGGCAAAGCCGTCTACGCTTTCTGTTCCATGGCGAAATCGAAACTTCCGTTGTTTTGATTGGCTGTGTCAGGTTGGAGGGAATTAAGGTTATTGAAGCGGTTCAGAGTTAATAAAGTGGTAGATATGATGTTTCACAAGGTGCTGCTAGAGTTATGTGAAATCTTATTTATGATTTAACTATAAAACATAATAATAATCAACTTCTCCTCCATGTTTGCTCGGAGATGTACGGAGCATCCTGTCCGCTCATTGGTCAGTGAATTAAACCTCCGTTGATTGGTCCTCGTCCGAGCGACAGCGATGAAAAGTTGAAAATGTTTCAACTTTCTGGGATCGCGTCGCTGGGTCGTCCGTGCACGAGTGCAAAAATTCACATGCACGTTTTTCGCGTTTCGCTTAGTAGGAGGGAGACCCGCGATTATCGCTTAGTCGCGCATGTCTCATTGAAAATGAATGGAGGAGAGGCGATGTCGAGCCATAATGTTTGATCTTCCAGGTGATCCAGTTCAGGAATGAGTTGATGCACTCGTGTGAGCTGCGGGTGAAGGATGACTGGATCAGACACTACTGGAGGACTTTGAAGCACTTTGTGCAGCAGCTGAGTGACGTTCCCCAGATGGCCACAGTAGGACAACAGATAGAAGATGTGAGCTTGTTTGTGTTCCACAGCAGCTTCGTTCTCTTACTGTGAGGTGTTCGGGTGAGTGAAGGACGTTTCATGTGCCTTTTGCCCAGATGCTGACTGTCGATCTGTCCATTTGTGTGTCTGGTGTTGACCGAGTGGACTCGGCCGGTCCTTTGGAGGGATGTGAATCTGATTTTGTCAGCCAGTTGGAGACCAGTGCTGAGAAGGTCAGCCAATGGGAAACAGAGCTGCTACAAGAAATGCTGCAGGAGTATCTGCATGTCGCTGCAGAGGAAGATGGCGATGCAAAGGCACAAGTAGGAGCAACAAATACATTTAAACATAGATTAAGTGTGTGATGCGTTTCTCTGACCTTCACTTTGTTCCTTAGGACCCAGAGCAGCTGAAGAGGCTGCAGAGCTTCCTGCAGGCCAACAAAGATCTCAGAGAGAGGTTTTCTACAGAACTTCAAGCCATCAACTCACTGGAGGTCAAAGAACGAGGAGATGGAAGCGATAAGAGGTCAAGGTAAAGACCAGAAGGCTATTCGATGATCATATTATGATGTTTGCAAACCGTAAGCATCGGAGAAATGGAGAACACTCTCCAAGTGGACTGGTTCTAAAGAAGAGACTTGTGGAGTTCCTCGTGTCTGTGGTGCTGCAGCCAAGCACACAACACAGGAAAGCATTTCTGGAGACCAGCTTCCCAAACCTGATGTACATGTCATAAAGATGAAAGGGAAATAAGACCAGAACTTTGCACTTGGGAACAAAATTTTGTTTTTACAGGTTTGACATTTTAAACCTGAACGTTTCTGATTCTTGATCAGAACAGAAAAAAGTTTTTTATCCAATACCAAAATGTTCAGTTTTTGAGGCTTTTGTATGTTTTTGTTTCTATCAACGTTGAATTAAAGTTGGTTCAAACGATACTGGCTGTTCTTGGTTGGTTTTGTAGTTGGTAACAGGAGGTCTGGGTGGCTGCGGGGGTGGGATTATGCCAGTCTAAGGACATTGTTGTATGCTTCTGTTCATTTCAGTCTAAACACTGATTAACTCCTATGTGAATTCTCAGTGAAGTTTAAAATGTGTGAATCAGCTGAGGACTAAATGTAACCAGTCCCAAAGGGAGAAAAGTAAAAGTTACCCCAACAAAGGAAGCAGACGACTGCAATGAGCCTCACGTCAACACCCCCATGCTAAACAGGGCCTGTGTGAACAGAAACCTTCAAAAGAACCCGTCTCTGGGGTCTGAGAGGAAAGAGGGATGGATATGTCATCATTTCTCTGGAGGATAAACGGAAAACAGGCAAAGGCAACTGTGGTCTGAGCCTTAAGTGGCATAACTAAAGGGATAAACCAGGATAACCCTAACTGGAAGAGTTATGGAAAAGGAAGGTTTTTGTTGTGGTCCCACAGCAATCCAAGAGAAGTCAAAGCATCCTTTGTGCAAGAAAGCTCGTTGCTCTGGTGCAGAAATGTTTAACAGAACAATAAAGAAACTAAAACCTGTGACAAAGACATCTGTCCCATGGCTGATGTTGGTTAAAACACCCATTGTTGGAAAAGAGAGAGAAATGCCAAACAAGTTCAATGAAATCCGGTCAGTATTTGCTATAACTGTGACTTTTAACACTTAAGTGTGTGTTGTGTTTTGAAGCTGTGGGACAAATCAAAAACTCTTGACTCCAACCACAGGTGTGTGATGTTTAGGCTTTGTGGGTTTAGGTGTGTCTTTGTCTTTTTTATTTTGAACATGCGTACACAAAGTAATACAACATAAGTAACTTCTCGTTTTTTTTTAACACATGTTCAAATGGGAGTAGGAAGAAGCATGAGCTTATTTAATCCCATCCCTTTCTCAACATCAAATAACTAATTGTTATTTAATGTTGTCCGGTAGTTTTTGGCAAATTACAACATATTCACACAAATGGCACATGGTTTATCACGATCAAGTCATTAATACAAACATTTTTTGTTTAGGCACACACTTTTGGACCTTCTTCCTTGTATTTGGTAAGCATCATGAGTTTTAAGCCTTTTTTTAAACAGCATTATGTTTGGACATTGCCTCAATTCATCACTCGTTCTGTTCCACAGTTTCACTCCATGTGAAACGATCCAGGTAGAATGGATGGTGCCACTAACATTAAAAGGTTAAAATAGGTTCTAAAACCAAGGCAAGCAGTGCAACCACAAAATGGTAAATGGCCTGTATTTGATATAGCGCCTTCTAGAGTCCTGGAACCCCCCAAGGCGCTTTACAACACAATCAGTCATTCACACATTCACACACTGGTGGGGATGAGCTACGATGTAGCCACAGCTGCCCTGGGGCGCACTGACAGAGGTGAGGCTGCCGAGCACTGGCGCCACCGGTCCCTCCGACCACCACCAGCAGGCAACATGGGTTAAGTGTCTTGCCCAAGGACACAACGACAGCGACAGACTGAGCAGGACTCGAACCTGCAACCTTCCTATTACGGGGCGAGCACTTAACTCCTGTGCCACCGTCGTAAATTTAAAAAGGAATTTATTCCAAAAGCTCGCGATGATGATGCCCAACAAGAAACTCCTAAAATAAGTCTGTGCTGGGCCTAAGGGGGCAAGCAGTCCATTCCGGTGTTGTGCCACAAATCGACTCGCTACCAAAAACTGATTAGCCACCGCGGGATCGCGCACGGTTAGGGCAATTGCATTTCTAGACGAAATTCCCCAGGATTTCGCCCTAAAACTCGGCATATCTAGCAATATGGACATTCAGAAAGCAGAGGTGACCTCTTCCGGTACTTAAACAGATGTTTATCGCGGATATTAGTTTTCCCGGTTCGGAAGTTGTTTTAAGTGTTGCTGTTTGTCTTAAACGTTCACAATGAGGATATATTAATCCTTTTTGTAATATTTGCGATTGAAAGATGGATTGTGGTAAGAACTGGCTTTCTTTATGTTACAGCCTTGATACTAAAAAATAAATAAACAATGTAAAATTGCACCCTGTATTGAATGTAAACGTTGTATAAATGTAAATAAACAATTCTCCAGCGATTTGATTTTTTTCCCCTTCCTTTCTTTAGTCCACCTGACATGGAGCCACAGTTAAATAGTTTGGGGCACATTTTTACTTGAAAAATAGTATTTAAACTGATCAAGCTTTGGCTTTAATGACACTGTGTAGGTTACTATCTATACATTACGTTGCTCTATTTAAAAGTAACAAGATAAAAGCACTTCAGCACATAAAATTAAGATTGTCACTTGCCAAATAGAGACTACACCCTCCTGTTTGCCTATAAGAAACACCTCAAAATATCTTTAAATTCTTTATTGATGATTTAATTGTAGACAACTAAAATGGCATTTTACTTGCCAAAAAGTGATTCAATCGCTCAGATTTTCATGGAGGCTAAAATTGACCAAATAAGGGTTTTATGTATTATCTGTTGATGTCACTGTACTCATACTGCCTACTGTATCATCAAAAATACCCCCAAAATGGCAAAAAGAAAGATAATTTCCCTTGCCAAAAATTGATTACAGTGTCCTGGTCACGTGTAAAGGGTTACATTTACCTGAGTATTACTTTATTTATTTTCTCTTGATGTTATTAGTCCCATCACAGGATGCTGGGTCTCTTCCACATTCATAAACACCTCAAAAATGAAAAAAAAAATAAAGATAATTTCCCTTGCCAAAAATTGATTAGTGTCCTGGTCACCTGTAAAGGGTTAAATTGGCATAAATATTACTTCATTTATTATGATGCTGGGTGTGTTCCACAATCATATTCGAATAAACATGAAAATATTCCGTCCGAATATCTGTTTCTTGTTATAAATATAACAGCTAGAAGGATTTACAGTAAAAATAGGAGAAACATTTCAAAAAACTGTTTACAATTAACCACAGAAATAGGTACAATTATGTTTAATTGTCTGTGATCAATTTTTGGCAAGGGAAATTATCTTTTTTTTTGCCATTTTTGGGGTGTTTTTGATGACACAGTAGGCAGTATGAATACAGTGACATCAACAGATAATACATAAAACCCTTATTTGGTCAATTTTAGCCTCCATGAAAATCTGAGCGATTGAATCACTTTTTGGCAAGTAAAATGCCATTTTAGTTGTCTACAATTAATCATCAAAAAAGAATTTAAAGATATTTTGAGGCGTTTCTTATAGGTAAACAGGAGGGTGTAGTCTATTTGGCAAGTGACAATCTTAATTTTATGTGCTGAAGTGCTTTTATCTTGTTACTTTTAAATAGAGCAACGTAATGTATAGATAGTAACCTACACAGTGTCATTAAAGCCAAAGCTTGATCAGTTTAAATACTATTTTTCAAGTAAAAATGTGCCCCAAACTATTTAACTGTGGCTCCATGTCAGGTGGACTAAAGAAAGGAAGGGGAAAAAATCAAATCGCTGGAGAATTGTTTATTTATTTTTTAGTATCAAGGCTGTAACATAAAGAAAGCCAGTTCTTACCACAATCCATCTTTCAATCGCAAATATTGCAAAAAGGATTAATATATCCTCATTGTGAACGTTTAAGACAAACAGCAACACTTAAAACAACTTCCGAACTGGGAAAACTAATATCCGCGATAAACATCTGTTTAAGTACCGGAAGAGGTCACCTCTGCTTTCTGAATGTCCATATTGCTAAATATGCTGAGTTTTAGGGGGAAATCCTGGGGGCTCACGCTTCTACTAGAGACGGCGCAGGCGTCAACCTGCCATCTCTGGTTCTGCAGCCGTCAGACACTTTGGTTTTTCCTGCATTTGGCAAATAAAGTCATCGGGAGTTTCAGCTACCGTCCCGTTTACACACGCAGCTCTATGGCTCATCTGAATTTCCTTCAGTGACACAGGGATGGTTATACTATGAGACACCCGCTCCCTTTTGCTCAGTGCGCCGTTATTATCACGATGGAGAGAACACACAACAGAGAAGTTGAGAAACTATGAGGTGTAAAAAAAAACCAGCTTTTTAGGAAAGTGTCTGTGAGAACGAGGAGAGCAGGTCTGAGGTATATCCTACAACAGAACTGTTTGGATCACCACACCATATCTGTCTTAATGTCACTTTATTGATACTTTTGGAATTTATTTTAAATATCAAAGCAATTTGGACCATTTTAATCATACTAATTAATAACATTGACACGCTATGGGGAAAATGAAAGACAATCTGGCTTGATGACGTCATGAATATGCAAATTAGCATTTAACGTCATCTGGCGACATCTGGGTGACTTTCTGGATCAACTTCAGCTACTTTCTATCAGGGGAGTTGGCAACACTGGAGTGAATAGGAAAGAGGGAAATCAGATCCTGAGGAAGGTGGAATAGGTGGGGAGAGCAGAATAAAGAGAGAGAGGTGAAGAAGGTCATACAAAAGCCAGCTTGAACAAGTGAGTCTTCAGCTGTTTTTTAAAGGAGACCACTGAGTCCACTGATCTCAGGCTCAGGGGGAGAGAGTTCCAGAGTCTGGGGGCCACAGCAGCAAATGATCTGTCATGTTTGGTCTTTAGCCTGGTGCTGCACAACCAGTAGGCATTGATCACTGGACCTCAGGGACCTGCTGGGGGTGTAGGGACTAAGAAGATCACCAATGTAAGATGGTGTTTGTCCATGTAAGGCCCTATAGACCAGAACCAGGATCTTGAAATGAACCCTGAAGTTGACTGGCAGCCAGTGAAGCTGGAGGAGAAGCAGGGTGATGTGGGTGTGTTTGGAGGACCTGGTCAGAAGCCGAGCACAGGCACTCTGAACCACCTGTAGACGGTTCAGGGGGGTTCTGCTCAGACACGTGAAAAGAGAGTTACAGTAGTCTAAGCGTGAGGAGATGAAGGTGTGGAGAACTGTCTCAAGTTCAGAGCGGGACAGAATGGGACTCAGCTTAGCAACGTTCCTGAGATGGAAGAAGGAAGAGCGAACAAGAGAACTGACATGAGAATCCAGGGTGAGAGCTGGGTCAAAGGTCACACCAAGATTCCTGACAGAAGGTTTGGTGTGGGAAGCAAGCTGACCAAGAGAGTCTCTGACTTTGGGAACCAGCTTGTCTGGGGCACAGATGAGGATCTCAGTCTTATCTTCATTCAGCAGAAGAAAGCTCCCAGCCATCCAGGTTTTGATAGAGTCTAAGCAGGTGTGTAACAGCTGCAGCTTAGACATCTCATGGGGCTTAAAGGAGATGTACAGTTGGATGTCATCTGCATAAAGATAGTAGTAGATTCCTTTGAAGGAGCTCAGGATGTGCTGAAAAGGAAGCAGATAGAGGAGGAAGAGCAGATGCCCCAGCACAGAACCTTGTGGGACACCATGGGTAAGAGAAGTGGTGGAGGACCTAAACTTGGAGACAGCCACAGAAAAGGGTAGCAGAGGAGCTCCCCTGGTGAGCTGGGGTAGTTGGTTTAGCCCTATTAGCAGCAGGGTATATAAGGCTGCATGTTTTCATGATCATGTGAATAGTTGTTGCCTGTACCAAGACAACTAGTGGAAAATAAACCACTCTGCATGACCCGCCAAGTTCCTGCCTCATTGTCACTGCTCCTGAAATCCAGCCATTTAAGGCCGTCTATATGACAGTATCTGAAACATGTTCGAATTTGTCAAAATATGGAGAAAAATATCCGAAATAAAACCAACATGTTCTATGGAAAAAGAGCTGAAGTCAAATTAAAAGTAAAATTCTCAAAATGAAAGCAGTGAGGTTAAAATGACGTGCAGCTCGCTGGAGGTTTGCTGCATGACGGAAAGGTGTGAAAACCAGCAAAAGCTTTTCCTGCTTCAGAAACGTTCACACACTTTGGTGCTGCTTCAGTCTGTTGCACCTTCACCAGCTTTCATCACAGATGAGCATCTGGTTCTGATCCAGCATGGAGCGGGAGGGGAGGTGTGTTCGGTCCATTTACTACGGGAGGATTGGCAGCAAAGTGACAGAAAGGCTGCTGGGGAGGTTTGGACACGATGGCAGCTTTCTGCTGAGGGACAGTGAAACGGTGCCAGGGGCCTGCTGTCTTTGCGTGAGGTGAGCTGCTGGGGACAGGGACGAAGACAGGGACTTAATCAGTAGATTACTATCAACTCAGAAGTTTTTCATTCATATTGTTGTCAGATCATCTCTTATTTATCTTGTTTATCAGTAAAAATTTAAATTTAAGAAAAAGAGTCAACCTGAACATAAATGCACTTCCTACCTCTGAGAAGCGATTCAAAAGACAAAACTTAAGGTTTCCACTGCTTACAGAGGATTGTACGTCTCGACTCAGATAAAGGAAGCACTTCATGGTCTCAATAATACTATTTTTACTTTAACTATAAGAGCAGTGATGGCATTAAACATAATATAAATGAAAAAAACTACATTTCTGTAATTTCTATAGAAATGATTGCTCTATAACACTAACATCTGATTTATGATAGATAACAAGTTAAATGATGCAGCCCCAGCACGCTGAGCTGCAGTTTATTATGAAAAACCCGAAACTGTTTAATGTCAAACATAACAAATTTCATTAGTAACGTTGGTGAAGACATTAATTTTACAAAACATCATCCCATTGTGGAGAGGTACAGGGGCATCCAACATTTTCAAGATTTAACCATTAAATAAAAAAAAATGTTGTTAAAAGTCGTGTGTGTGTGTGTGTGTGTGTGTGTGTGTGTGTGTGTGTGTGTGTGTGTGTGTGTGTGTGTGTGTGTGTGTGTGTGTGTGTGTGTGTGTGTGTGTGTGTGTGTGTTAAATCAACAGGTGGCATTTTTGCATTCTTATTATTTTTATTCCATTTGAAGAAGGGCATTGCTAGTTTGGGAACTTAATGGTGAAATGCAGTATTGAACATGTTTGTGCGGTTGCAGGAATAATTAGAAAATGTTCATTTATGTTTATGTTATTTATTTTTTTAAGTAGAAGGGAAAATTTGTGGGGTTGAAACAAATTCAAACTGAAGATAAATACTGTATCACACGTTTTACTCACTGTGGGTTCAGACTTTCAAGAAAAATGTGTCTGAATCAGATAAGACGACTTTCTGAAGTCTGGTTTCAGATCATGTATGTTAAGCGTAAAATATAAAACAACTTACTCATTTCCGTGAAACATGCTTTTTTTTATCAATTTGTGCAAACGTTTCAGATAGATCGTTAAAGTGACGTTTGTTTGACAGGAAAGCACCACATGTACTCACCTACAGGCTACAGCACTCCGACAGTGGCTGGTACCTCCAGGTGGGTGAACATCGCTCACATTCACTCACTCACTCACACACACACACACACACACACACACACACACACACACACACACACACACAGAATTATCACCATCTACATGTGTGCCTTTAACAGGATTTAAGAAACCGACAGGAGAAATTTGGAACTCTGGAGTCATTGATTGACCATTACAGACGAGCCCCATCGCCTCCTTTTGGGATGGCTCCCCTCACTGATCCACTGGACAAAACACAAATACCAAACTACTTTCTTCAAGGTACAAATCAGTCACACATTTGATCTAATGGCCTCTGGTTGTATGCAAAACCCATGCAGATACATTTTTGGTTTCTGTTCATCACAGAATTCGTCTACATGGAAGTGACCAGCAGCAGCAGCTCAGCTCAATGAGGGCCTGTTCTTCAACCCTGCGGATGTTCTTCCTCAGAACTTCCTGTTTATTCATCTCATCAACACTTTCCAAACCAGAGAAACAGTTGTACATAAATATCACATGTAAGAATATAAAAAATACTAAAAAGTTTGCAGTTTATTTCAGCTCGAGTGTGCAGGGTTACGTTTGTGTTACCTTTCAGTGCTGAGTGATTCTAGGTTGTGATTAACTTTCTGTGGCTGCTGTGGTCTTTATCTGTGCTGCTTTAGTATCTTTGTTGTAAACCAGAGGGTGAGACAAACAACTGACTCACACCCACGGACAATGTAGAATTTAGCGTTTTACCAGAATTTATGCCCGTTTTGGTCTGTGAGGGGAAAACGGAGAAGCAGGAGAAAACCACACATGCTCTGAGACCCTGCGGTCTCCACACAGAAATATCACAGCTGGGACTTGAACTTGTGACCTTTGTGCTGCAACACAACACTGCCACCAACTTTGCCAACCTGCAGCCCCACTGATGAAAAAGAAACATAAAAACTCCAAGTAAGAGTGGAACCACATCCTGCAAGTCTTGAGCGAGGAGCTTTGACTTGTGTAGCTTGTGCTAACAGCATTTTCAGTAGCTCCTATCCTACCTTTATTCACACTTAAATAAAAATGATTGATCAGGAGGCAGAGGCTGCAGCTCAAACTTTTACACTTCTCTTAGTTGTTTATTTGGGTCTGATCTGACCAAGAGCACCAGATGTGATTGTGTTTTTACTGTGTTCTGCAGAAATTTAAAGAGCAAGTCAACCCGTACCAGATTCTAACTCCACTCCCACTTCATGTTTGAAAAATGCAACAAATGCTGTTGCCTGGCAGACCGAGAGGGCGGAGCTGCTAACAAATACACAAACACACAGGCATTGTGACATCATAACGTACCAGTTTACATCATAGCATACCTCTTAGCCAATAGTGGTGGCAGATTTAAATTAGAATACAGTGCAGAGTTTTTACCTGACAACGGCACAACACTGACAGTTTTAGGCAGAATATTTAAATTTTAACTAAGATGCACTGAAGTGCCAAATTATTGACGACACGTGTCTGCAGCACGATTAGACACTCGTTTATTTAGTTTATCAGCAAAAAAAAGTTTATTTGGGGGTGACTTGCTCTTTAAGTTCCACTATTAAAAGTCAAAACTTCTTGTCTTTTTTACCTTAAAGTAGTGGTAATGCCCCCCTCAGAGTCTTACTCCACCCACGTATCAATTTTAAAAACTGCAACATTAGTAGGCGTTGCCTGGAGGACCGAGAGGGCGGAGCCGCGGCAGTGACGAAGACGATGGCTAACTAGACTAGACTAGGCTAACTAAGTTTTCTTGTGCATGAATATCTGATTTAGTGTTTCCCAACCCTCTACAAACAGCAGGTAAAAGTAGAAAAATGACTCCAAAATGAGCAGATCACAGTTCATAACCAGACTTTATTATAAACTGTAAAAAATAAACTTATTTTGTAGAAACGTTTAAGATTTCAGTACAACTGTGAAGAAATTGGTGTAAGTCTCAAACGCCTCTTGTTCAAATCCTGCCAGAAAATAGTAAATAAAAGTCGCAGTTTGATGAAATGCATGAAAAACTAAATGAATGTAAGACAAAACGTCTTTATTCCTAAAAACAACAGAAAGTCTTAATGCAAAAGATTTCTAAAGCTCTTTGAATTTTGGTAGAACATTTGTAAATGCTCAATGCATGCGTCCAACCTGTGTGTACCGACTTGTGGAGTAAAAATGAGCATGCACGTCTTTATTCTGTGTTGCTTTCAGGGTTTTGCTCTGCATCCTCCACCTCAGTGATCTCTTCCTCGTGTTTTTCTGGCACAGAAGGGTAGAACTAGCAACACAAGAAGAAATCCACATTAGAACTGCGTGTACACACACACATTAAGGTGTTCACCTCAATGTGTGTGTGTGTGTTTGCTTACACAGACAGGGTCGCCTTTCTCTAGAAAATATTTGTACTGCGGTGGAGGACGAGGGATTGGAGGAAACAGGATACTAGTCAACCTGAAACACAAAATCAGCTTCAGAAAGACAATCAATAAAAGCTGGTGGATAAATGTCAAAGTAAAACTGAGATGTCTGTCCACCCTTTTCTATCGGGTCTGTTCTCAACCTTTATTTATACAGCACATGTCAGAGGTGTGGGCTCGAGTCACATGACTTGGACTCAAGTCAGACTCGAGTCGTTATTTTAATGACTTCTGACTGGACTTGATAAAATCTATAAAGACTTACGACTTGACTCAGACTCAAACGACAATGACTTGCGACTTGAATCGACTTGCATCTGTTGACTTGATGATAACTTGAGCATATTTGATATTTTAGCACAAAAGTGGTGCGACATGGACAAAAGTCATAATCATTCTTCGTTCTGGGTTTGATCTCGTACGGCTGAATGCAGCAGCACTTTGCTGATGATCAGTTTCGGTTGAACTTTCTGCTTGTTTGTACAAATAAATGAAGCTTTATTTCTGGAATGTATTTATCATCATTGTCATTAAATTAAAGTTGGACAGGTGACTTGATTATGACTTGAAAAATCAAAGTTAAGGACTTGGACTTGACTTGGACTTCCACATCATTGACTTTGGACTCGACTTGGACTTGGTTGTCCTTGACTTGGACTTGACATGAGACTTGACTGGAAATACTTGTGACTACTTGTGACTTGCAAAGCAGTGACTTGGTCACATCTCTGGAATATTGTATCCCATGCTCTGAGTATGGCGTAGCCCTTTAAGCCCCTGGCCTCACTGGTTCTGGGGAGCTCATTGAGCCTTTGAAGACAATCTATGGTCCTCAATCTCTTGTGTGGTACCAGGGCCCTACTGATAGGCGGGCTACATTAAAAGTTCTTCAGTCATAGGATGGTTGTTTGGGAACAATCCAATAGGCGTGGCTTAACGAGCTACATCATACTCATTGAATCTGGGGTTACAATACGTAACCAACACTCTGGATCCTGGATTATAATTAATCTCCACTCTGTTGTGAGTTTATCAGAGTGGATCAGATGAAGAAGCCTGCTTTTCTGACATCATCATCTACTTGTCTTTTTTTTCCTTTTGCCATACTGGTCTGACTCAGGACAACGTTTATGCTGAGATTCAGCAGCACAGGAAAGCCTTGATTGAAGGGAGATGTTTCAGAACACTAGAAATACACTACCTCTGATGGCGCACCATCAACAGCACAGCAAGGAGGATCATGGGTATTCCCAGGCAAATGGCTACTATCACCAGGGGGTCGAGTGTGTACCAGGGCTCTTCAGCTGCTAAACCTGTACAAAGACAGACTTTAGGCTCCCACAGAGGCTTCAAGTACAGATGAGTCAGACCGAAAACCACTAATCATTGGGTCTTTTTACTCTATGGTCAGCTCCGCTCAGTCTGTGACATCACTTCACATTACACTCAAATGGGGGGCAGGAAGTGTTTAGCTCCACTACAAAACACAGCAAAATGGATGAAAGCGATAGTACAAAGGCTTTAAATGGCACAGACGCCCAGAGGTGCTGCTCCTTGTTGTGTGACGGGGTGAGTACTCCCTCTTCTCCACAACATCTTTGTAAGACTGTCATTCCAGGAGAGGGCACTCACCAGCTGCGGGGCATTACCGATCAGCGGCAGCTGCAGATCCTCTAATCAACCGCAGCAGAGCTCTATTTAAGAGGAGAGGGAACCACTTCACATCGCTGGATGATTAACTACTCATGGTAGAATCTTGCCACTCAGTACTAGGTTTTACTTGGTCTCTGCTCAGACATTTGTGCTGTCACAGTTTTTGGATTTATCTGGTTTTTTGTGCTTGGATTTTTTGGTGTTTGGACTCAAGTCTGTTTCATCTTCAGGATACTTGGAATCGCTGAACCACAGATGGATGTACCTACCTGGAAGTCGCCATAACCCGCCTGGATTACACACTCAAGGTTCACCTCTCCTCCAGCTTCACTTGCCCTCTGCCACCATCATCTGGCTCCCTCTCCTGGACGTACCCCGTCACACCGTTTGCCCTCCCTGCTGGCTTTTGGACTCTTGCCGACTACTTCACACTTGGATATCTCCAGGACACTTTTAGTTAGGGTTAATAAATCATTGTTTGAACTTTCTGCCTTTGTCCTGTGATGGTTCTTCATGTCGTGGGTTAAACACCTTCCCAGGAACATGACACTCCTGTAGGCTGCAGGAGCAGCACCTCTGGCCCACTACAGTCTGTGAGTAAACAGCGATATCATGTGGTCACTGTTTGTTATAGCAACCTGCAGCTTTTGATTGATAATACAAACTGGGTGCTTATATATATATACAAGTGATAGTACGAAGGCTTTTAAGTGGCACAGACGCAATATCACGAAAAAATACATCTTCCTTTAGGTTGTGACCCGCATAGTTTTAAAAAGTGGGATTTTTCATACACCCTAGAGGATTTACCCAGTGCTGAAGTGATCGGCATAACAAACTACCTTGTGCTGCGTGCCTCATACTACTAATACATTACCAAATGAAAGCCTTTTACAAACCTGGAAGCCTACGCCTATTTTTTTCAGGTTGGTTAAACATTTAGGGATCCGGGGAAGTTTTAAATGACCGTCGTCTTGTTTTCGCTCGGTAAAGTAGTGAGTTGTGCTCATGATTAGTTCCGGATAATAATGCTAATGCTGATGCTAAGTATGTGCTAGGATCTACTTGTAACAAAAATGTTATGCCTTTTTAAATCTATATTTCTGGTATGTTTGATTTTAATTGGGTATAAACACGCGTTACAACACTAAGCTAACTGCTAAAAACATCAGCACTCTGAAAGCTATTAGAGGTGAGGACACATGAAAATAGTATCAAACTGTTTAACAGCCGTTTTTATGGTGTTTCTAAATAACTGTTTAATAAAATGCACAGAGGGCATTAGAGTGGTTGTAATAACATAGACTGCACAGAATTTTAGCATTTTAACGCCCAGTTACCAAAGTAAATAGGGTTCTGTGCAGCGCCGGCTAGTTCCGTACCACCATCTGCATTTGGTGTGAAATGCAGCAATAAATTGGCTTTAGAGTGACATCATTTCAGCCATCCAATAAGTCTACAGGTGGGTGAATCGGGTTGGTTCTGCACAAAAACAACCGCAGGGAATCAGGGCTCTGCACAAATCAGGGCTCTGCACAAACAACACTATGCGCTGATTCGGGGCTGAGCTAACCATATTGTAGGGCCAATTGAGTCTGAGATGACTGGGTCAAAGGTCACTTACTGACTGTGGGGCTCCATTGGCTCCAATGTTGGTATCCATGGCAATATTGTGATGTTCGTGTCCTAATTCTCACCCTGTAGCTGCGGGACGAAGCGGCATTCAACTCCACATACTGCAGAGTTCCCGTCAGCATCCTCAGGTCTTCCTGTTTAGAAATAGTTACCAAGGTGTGTGTGTGTGTGTGTGTGTCTTTTGGATTAGACTAACTTCGATCTCTGTTGGGTCTGACTTGTGGAGTTCCTCACAGAGTTCTGATGTCCTACCTGTTCGCCCAAATCCAGCTGGTACTCAAAACAGTCAGGATTTGCAATGTTGTTAGAGTCAGGCAGATTCCAGGAGATGTAAAGGTGTGTACCTTCAATGGATGCACAGACATTTGTAGGTGGAGACAAGGGCCCTGTGACAACACGCACACGCACACGCACGCACACACACGCACACACACAGTTTAAGAGTGTTATTCATTGTAGCTCCTGATTTTTGTTTGTATTATGATGTGAAAATATGTTAAATACTTTTAACAGGTTGGTTTATTTCAAAATTGGAAATATTTTTATATTTTTTGTCATTTTATTCTATGACCTTTTAAAAATAGGTTCACAAATACATTTCACTGATAAGCGTGTGTGTGTGTGTGTGTGTGTGTGTGTGTGTGTGTGTGTGTGTGTGTGTGTGTGTGTGTGTGTGTGTGTGTGTGTGTGTGTGTGTGTGTGTGTGTGTGTGTGTGTGTGTGTGTGTGTGTGTGTGCTACTTACGTATCAGGTCCATTTCATATCTTCTGATGTTAACCATCCATTCCACATCCTTTGTCATGTTAAAGCAAACGATTACATGATCTTTTTGACTCATGTTCAACACCCAAAATCCAACTCTTGGCACAGACAGTTTGGATTCTAAATCAACCGGTGTATCCTCCTTACATTCACTGTAAAACAAGTTCAAATCACTGTGAGATGGTACGATAGTCAGTTTACCTTCCTTAAAAATATTGTTGGGACTCTCTGGGAGTAATGTTCTTGCTTAACTCCTTGTAGACTACTGTTACTAATAATCATAAAATGACTTCTGTCCTTAAAGCTTCCAGATAGCAGCCTGGCAGGACATCCTAAATATGTAAATACAAAGTCTTAATTTCAGAGAAGGAGAAACAGCCTGCTGCTACCACTCCAACTTTAGAACAAACGTCCAGAGTTCCAAAATGAAAAACAGCATTTGAAGTGACAACAAAAGACGTTTGGACCTAGAAAACAGTGACTGGTGTTGAAGCGCTGTCTCATCTCCTCTGGCATCGCGGGTTTTCAGTTCTGGCAGAAGTGCATCAAGAAAGATGCCCACGGGGATCTGTGACCATATTCGCATTCAAAACCTAACTTTAACAGCTTTAAAGACTTTGAAGAGTTTGATGTTGACTGGTCAGTTCAGATCACTGGCAAAAAGAAAATACCTCATAACAATGGAAAGATGAGTGTCCTTCTCCAAAGTGAGGAATGACCAGGAGCAGTTGAGTAAATCTGATGGGTACAAGACACACGCGAAGCTTTCCTTAAAGTTGGTGATGCCAACAACTTCATCTAACCCTGTAGAGTTCAGCAAGAAGACCTAAAAATGTCCCACAAGCATAAACAACATACATTTAAATTGAGCGGCATTCACGAGCTGTAAGAATATTTCAGTTCTTACATCATCATTATCCAGGAGACAGACATCTGACAAGACTGCTTCGGTTTCTGCAAAAAATAATTCAGATTCAAGCTTGTTAGTTGGCCATGCATCATTAGGTTCACACCTAAAACTGTGCCAGCCTGTGTGTGCAGACTTTGCGTCAAGACGCCATGCTTCATTTGTCAATATTGTGTATTTTTACACTTGTCGGCGTTGTTTTTCTTTATCTTTTATTAACTGAATGGTGAAGGAATCTGCTTTCTATGAATTAAAATAAAAAAGCGGAAAAAATAAATGTTAGCAAAAATAAGTCCATGATCAAGATGCAGTTGTTCCACTGTTTAAAAGTCATGTACCTCACCTTTTTTTATTATTGTGTGTGTGTGTGTGTGTGTGTGTGTGTGTGTGTGTGTGTGTGTGTGTGTGTGTGTGTGTGTGTGTGTGTGTGTGTGTGTGTGTGTGTGTGTGAGATGCTAATTCACCCACCATGTCTTGACATCAACAACACCAGGAGACAGTACCAACAGATTGGAAGAGCAGGAAGCAGCTCCATAGCCAACTTGGGGCTTTAAACACAAACACAAGGTTTGGTTGAAGTTCAGTCTCCTAAACGATGGCTTCATACTGAAAATATAAGTCAGTCTCAGATGAAAACACGCAGCAAAGTGCAACAAGTTCCTGGTTTTCAGCTTGTCTTCTTTAGGTTGACCACATGTACCAAAGACACGTTCAAAAAAGTGATTTCCTGGCTTTAAAGAATTCCCCTTTTTCAAGTGTTTCCGTTGCTAGTCAGAGCTTTTCTCATTCTCCTCAGAGTGTATGAAATCAGCTGCAAAGACGCATTGTTCGTGTTTCTATACCAACTTCTTACAGCACATTAAAAGTTTCAAAGACACAACGCCCAGTCACATAGAGACAGTGAGATGTCTAATAATCACGACTCGACATTGTACCTCCTCTGTTTAATAAGATCCTAAACAAACCGACACATTGATACCTCTGTAAACAGAAGTTTTTACCTGGTGCTGTCTTTCTACTCTGATAATGATGCGTTTTTCTCTTGGCCAGAAGAAGGAATGATAAGATTTGAGGAAGTTTGAAGCATGATGTTATGAACTGTACCAAGTTTCAGGAAATCAGGACTTTTTGTTTTCCTTTCACTTTTATTCATGTTTATATAACCCTCAAAAATTAACTGATCCTCAGAGAGTTGGAAGCTGTGGGTTGAAGTTGGGTTATCGTTAAGTTCTGATCAATATACTTATTTTTCATTGTCTACAGAGCTAAAAAAAAAATCCACAACGGCAGGATATCCCTCACACGGCACTTATTTGTTTCTATCGCCAACCAACCGACACCACAACCAAAGGGTGCTCCTCAAGCTCACTCTAGGGACCTGTAGTCCCTCCTATTTACCTTTTCAAAATAAAATACGAGAAGCAAAGTACAAGCCATATACAAGACATTTAAGACATACCAAAGCAAAGAAAATAGTAACTAAACCAGACATATTCAAACAAAAGATTACATTAATGTCACAAGATTAGTAAAAAAAAAAAAAAAGATGATTATGCATGTAGATTTTTTCAGGTCCGTCTGCTTTAGCTTAGCATAAATGAATGGGCTTGTGATCACACGTGATTACGCAGAGCATTCTGGGATGTGTGCAGACATGTTGGAAGCTTGACGAGTGTAAACTAAACGTGAAACAAACAGTGTCGGTACAGGATCTGCTCGGGTGCAAGATCGACATTCGCTGAGACTTCTGTTAGGGCATTATCCTTCATGTACTCATGGATCTTGGATGTTTAATCCTGGGCAGGGGCTCACACACACTAGTTCAATTCAATTCAAGTTTATTTATATAGCGCCAAATCACGACAAGAGTCGTCGCAAGGCATTTCACATAGTAAACATTCCAATACAGGTCAGTTCAATAAGCCAATCAGAAAAAATGTTTCCTTTATAAGGAACCCAGCAATTTTTATCAGCAATCCTCATACTAAGCAAGCATGTAGCGACAGTGGAGAGGAAAACTCCCTTTTAACAGGACAAAAATTCCAGAGGATCCTGGCTCAGTATAAGCAGCCATCCACCATGACTCAGTGGGGATGGAGAAGACAGAGCAGACACACGCATACATCAACACCAGCCCACACACACACACACACACACACACACACACACACACACACACAACATATATACCAAGTAATGTTTCTATGGTTACATTGTGATTTCTTAGTAAATATTCTATTTCTAGTCCTCAGCCTCCTTCCTTACACCTACTGTACATGTATCACGGTGCTGGGTTTGGGATGAAAACATGCATGGTTAGGAGCTTATGTATATTAATAATAATTATATTATTATGTATATTGGGTGGGGCGACGGTGGCACAGGAGTTAAGTTCTCGCCCCATAATCGGAAGGTTGCAGGTTCGAGCCCCGCTCAGTCTGTCGCTGTCGTTGTGTCCTTGGGCAAGACACTTAACCCACATTGCCTGCTGGTGGTGGTCGGAGGCCTCGGTGGCGCCAGTGCTCGGCAGCCTCGCTGTCAGTGCGCCCCAGGGCAGCTGTGGCTACATTGTAGCTCATCCCCACCAGTGTGTGAATGGGTGAATGACTGACTGTGTTGTAAAGCGCCTTGGGGGGTTCCAGGACTCTAGAAGGCGCTATATCAAATACATGCCATTTACCATTTATGTGTCTTAACATCTGTGGTCTGTATAGCTTCCTTTTGCCAGCTTATTATTCATACAGGATATGGTTACTGGTAGGGCGTAGCTGTTTATTGCCCGGTATTCAGCATCTCCTCGCAGTATCTAGCTATTTCCTGCAGAAGGGGCACTGTTGCACAGACTCCTCGTAGACCTGTGTTGTCTATTGTATCAGTGTGGCCGCCATCTTGGATGGGTTTCCTTGTACCTCCATAATAGAAATTTGAATAAATTATCAGATATGATAGAAATATGAATGAATGAATGAATGAATGAATGAATGAATGAATGAATGAATGAATGAACTTTTATTTTAATCAAGATCGAGTTTGATTGCTCATTTAAATTTTTTTGACTCTCTTTCCATCTCTCTCTCACACATGCACACACACACACACAGTTGGATGGCTTTGTTTTGGGTGGATGGTTGCTGCCTCTTGGCCAGATACAATTAGCTTCCATTCTGTTATATTCAAACTAAAAAAAATGATTCTGACACAGATTTCATATTCAAAAACTGTTCCCTGACCGGGAATCGAACCCGGGCCGCGGCGGTGAGAGCGCCGAATCCTAACCACTAGACCACCAGGGATAGATAGTGAAACAGTCCCACACGAAGATTATATCCTTTTAATACGTCCTTACAACTTCAGTTTTAACTTTTTTTTTGTTGGTTTGCTCAATCTTTTGAAAAACTGTAATGTTTTATCAGTGACAAACTGCAAGAGATACTATTTACTTTCCTGTCACACACTTGTAGAACTGAAACCACACTAGTTAAACACAAACTTCTCCGGGATACTGTCCAGTTAGTTTATATTTTAGTTGTTAAATGTAAGCTGCTGTGTTTTGGTGACGTTTGAGTGTCTTTTACGGCGTCCTAACTTGCTATGTCCATACCATCGACATTAATATACTGGACATCTCCTTTCCATAGACTCCAATATCACGTTTTTGAGGCCAAATGGGAGGTGGACACCACCGCCATTTTGACCGTGTCACAGGTTCTGTCAAGCCCAGACAATTCCACAAAAGGGAAGAGAGGAGGAGCTGAGGGTGGGGCTGTAAGGCTGGATCAACTGACGACACCCAAAGCTAACGCGGAGGTGGGTGCTAAGCTAACGGAGGTAGCAACCTAGCTACAACCGGAGTTAACTGCGCACAACACCAGAGCTTCTGAGTCAGAGATACGCCGGGCTGACCGCTGGGCAAAACCGGGTGGAAAACAGAGGTCTCCCGAGACCTCCACAAGCTGGCAGCCACACAGCAGACAAGCGCCACTGCGATCTGAGATGCGCAGAGCTGCCGCTGGGGAGAACCGGGTGGAAAGGTTTCCATCCCAGAGCTCCACAAGCCGGCAACCCGCGCAGCAGACAGAAGCCGCGATCAGACAGATGCGCCGAGCTGCCGAGAGACCCAGCCGGCAGCCCGGCGCATCAAACAGAAGCCGCGATTGGACAGAAATGAGCCGAGCTGCTGGGAGAAACAGCCGGCATTCCGCCCAGCAAACAGAAGCCGCGAAGCCAGGGGAGAAGCGGGTGGAAAACATCAGTCTCCCGAGAGCTCCACAAGCCGATAGTCGGAACCCAGCTCCACCAACATGTTATATTTCAACCCATTTTCTAAAGTGCAGCATTATGTTAAATGCACTGGGTTTTACCCTATTACATTTAAATTTCATGGTTAAACAGTACATGTTAAAATCTAAGCTCAGCTCGGCAGTGGCCTAAAATACATCAATATAATTTTACTTACCGAAAAAAATGAAGTGGAGACTCCTTGGACGCTCTATTAGTGCAATTAATGCCACAGCAAATCATTTTGTCCAACAATTGCACTAAAAATATCCAAAGAAGAATACACAAACAGACTCAAAATGCCGGAGCAGTTTCCAAGTTAGACCGAGGCTCTACTGAGGCCTTTCCACAGAGCTAGCTCTGTGGTCACGTGGGTCTGAGGCAGTGGTCACGTGTGTCGGATGCTCATTAATTATACAGAATTTTAGGCTTTTAATACACTTAAACAGAAGAGTGAGAAAAATTCACCCCCCTCAGAGTTGTCATGAGTGCAAACTAGATCATTTAAACAAAAAACATGTGTTGGTACCAGGCTGTAAACATGTTTATTTCTGCTGTGAAATTGGTATTTTTAACATGGGAGTCAATGAGGATTTGCTCGCTTCTGACACCAGCCCCCAGCGGATGCGGGTGGAACTGCAATTTATTTCACTTCCGCATTGGACTCAATTTTAGAGCCGCATTGTGGGGGCTTGGTCCATACATAATGGATAAGTTGTGAGTTTTGTCCCTTTTGGCTTGCTGTACCTGTAGGCAGTTGCAGCGCGCCTTGGCAGTACGGATGAGTACGGGACAGCAACGACAACCATCCAGGTCGGATCATTGATAAACTCAGTTACTTTTTCACGGACTATCGTTCATCTTTGTCCTCCACCGTGTTACTCGACCTTTCTCGGTAAAATATGCTTTCTGATGAGACGCTTACTCTTGTTTTGAACAAAGAGTCGTGAGTTTCGTTTTCCCCGCTCGCTTTTAAAAACTCTCTGCTTCACGCGACAGAAGGAAGAGTATTCAAGCTAATGTGGGAATGAAACGGAATATAAACTCGTATTAATTACATTTTTTTCAGATTCAGAATGTCCAAAGACACGCTCAGGAGCAACAAAACAGATATTGTCATGGGTTTATGTGGAGACTACAGACTTGTCCTCAACAAGGTTCTGGAGAAGAAGCTGATAACTCAGCGGGAATACAACAATCTGAAAAGCATTCCAAATGAGAATATAGAGGGACACGTTGTTGAGCTGGTGGATAAGATCATGAACAAGGGAGAAGACACCTGCAAAGCGTTCCTGGACCTCCTGCAAACAGACGATGAGATTAAAACAACTCTCCCTGAGTTGGCAAACATACAAGACAACTGCCTTTTACCAACACCTGCACAAGAGTCCTCCCTTTATGGTCATTGAGACAACTTTAGTAACACGTTTCTCATTCAAACATGTTCAGAGTTTAATGTGTTTGTTTCACTTTCACTCAGGTGATGCTCCAGAGGCCAAGAGGCTTAAACAGGTAACAGGAGACGCTGTTGTGTGTGAGATAACAGATGTGTTAAAGAAAACACTCATTATTAGACTGTAATAACACGCATATTTTACCTCTAATTAAATTAAAGTACTAAGATCAGTAATGCTGCCCTAACGTGTCTCCGCTCTCCAGGAGGAGCTGTATGAACTCAGAAGCCAGCCTGTGGGCCTCTGTATGATCATTAACAATGAGAAGTTCTCAGACGGCACTTCGAGAGGGGGAACAAACACAGATGCTCGTAGGTGTTGTTTTATTCTTCATGCAGCTACCAGTCTCTGAGATTACAATCTATTATCTGAGTCACCTGATCAAGAACATAAAATGGCAGCAAAAACAGTCGTTGAGTTTCTGAATCCTTCAAGACCTTTTTAAAACTTTAAAGCTTCTCGAGGTTTTACAACTTCATGGGGTTTATTTATTTATTCTTTATTTAACCAGGAATGTCCCATTGAGATTAAAAACCTCATTTTAAAGGGAGTCCTGCTCAAGAAGCAGCAAAAGTGAGATGCTGCGCCTTCCGCAACCAAATAAAGCTTTGATTGATTGAAAAGTTACAACTACACATTTTTCTGCTCCACAGACATGTTATGTGTTAAATTACAGAAGGCAGTTACAACACAGGAAATCCGTCTCAAGAGCTCTCAGTCTGGTTTTAAATGTATTCAAGGAGATAAACTCGGTTAATTTCCAGTTTTCCTGCAGCCTGTTCCTTGCAGAAGGAGCAAAGTGAACAAAAACCCTTTTGCCCAATTCGGTGCGAGCAAACAGAACACAAAGTAACAGCTGATCATTTGCATGTATATCAATGTCCCAACCTCCTGGTGGATAAGTAAGTAAGCAAAAGTTTATTTATATAGCGCCTTTCACAGATATAAATCAAAAAGCACTGTACAACATGATAAAGATCAGGGCAAATACATCTAACCAATAAAAACATCCGAAAAACAATAGCAGTGATAAAGTAGAAAATAAAATCATGAGTATAAGGCGGCCATCCCACGGGTCAGTGGTCTACAGTCAGTAATAAACCTCAGCGAGGCATGATAAACCACATCAGTCTTACCAAGACACTGTGCTGAGGCAGTTATAAACAAAAGGTCTCCATAATCCAGAATAGACCGAAATGTTGTAGTGACTAGATGTTTTTAACCTTTCCCAAAGCCAAGAAACCCGCAGCGGCCAAGAAGCCCAGGAAACTGGCAGAAGCCAAGAAGCCCAGGAAACTGGCAGCGGCCAAGAAGCCCAAGAAACCGGCAGAGGCCAAGAAGCCCAAGAAACTGGCAGCGGCCAAGAAGCCCAAGAAACCGGCAGCGCCTAGAAAACCCAAGAAACCGGCAGCGGCCAAGAAGCCTAAGAAAGCTGCAGCAGTCAAGAAGTCCACAGCTGCTAAGAAGTTCCCCAAGGTGGTGGTGAAAAAGTCTCCTTCAGCCAAGAAGGCTCCAGCTAAGAAAGCAGCTCCCAAAATGAAGTGAACTCCTCACTAAACATCACAGCTCCATGTACTTTTGTTTTATTTTCACATAAACTCAGTTAACCCTCTGGGGTCCGCGGACGCGTATCCCCGCGTCTTTTGAACAGGTCTGATTTGGGAAGCTGTAACAGCAAGACTCCGCCTCCCTGAGTTTCAATTTCAATTCAGCTTTAAAAAGGAGATTATAAACTACATCCCAGTTTTTTAATTTTGTTAATAGGCAACGTAAAAGCGGAGTTATACTAAACTAAAAAACAACCTATTTTTAGACAATATGATAACTTGTCAAAACAGCAGTTTAGTAATCCGTGAGAGGGAATGTGCTTGTGAACATGAAAAATACCCACAAAAACATGAGATCCTTTTGCTGTTGGTGGATGTCTCACATATGGACACTTTTACTACCTACGTCATCAAAAGTTGCGCGCGCAGCCTGGCAACGAGAGTGACGGCTTCCTCATTCACACTCGATACTAAAACAGCGTTTTAAACCCTTTGTTTTGAAGTTCTGAGCACATAAAAATGTCGGGTTGTTGCGTGTATGGATGCCAGAATCGCTTCTCTTCAAGCAGTGGACTGAAACTTTACAGAATTCCGAAGGGAGCACATCCATTTCAACAAAATCGGAGGCGTCTGTGGCTGCAGGCCATCAAAAGGGTTGATGAAAACTGGACGGAAAACACGATCCGAAATGCTCGAGTTTGTAGCGCCCATTTTATATCAGGTAAGGTAATTATCTACTAAGATTACATATAAATTTATACGCTTTATTTCATGCTTCAAATTAACAATTCATTCTAATTCATCTGTATTTTCCCACTGCATATTAGTATAAACTGTATTTCTCTAAAATTAACACGATTGTACTCTGAGCACGCTAAAAAAAGAAACCTATGCTATGCTCACCCTGCCATGCAGGTACAGTTGGCTGTGAAGACGTAGTTCTCTGGTTTGTTTACTATGACCCAAGCCTCGTACATAGCAGTCTTGTGTCCTTGTCTTTGGCTAGGAAGGACTTCTGCCTTCAAGACGCAAAACTCAGAGTCTATGTGGTGATATTTTACTTTCTGTACGTGGCCACAGACAACATAGTTGTATGCATCTAACGATTTGTATGCCCGTAGCTTCTCACGGGTGTACTTACTGGGCCTCTCCACTAAAAACGTATATATATCGGGCCACTGGACATCTGGCCACGCACCTACATCTTCCACCCATTCCGTAATGCCACAGGGATCCGGGAGTCTGTTGCCATTCGTTAAAGTGAGTTTAATAATATAACATTCAAGATTTGCCAGTGATAACCCCGCAGCGTAGCTTGATAAAGCCTGAAACAACGCCATTCTCTGTTGCCAAGCTGCGCGCGCATTCTCGCTGACGTCATATTGTTTACAAACAGTAAAAGGGTCTATTTAATTGATAAAAAGTATCATTACGTAGCTGAGAGAGAGAGGAAGGCCGCACGAGTAACGAGAAGTGCGCAAAAAGGAGCCGCTCCGTGAGGAAAGGAGTGGCGCGAACGGAGTAACAACAAACAATTAGACAGATATTGACGGTAAACTTCATATTTTGGAGTGATCCGGACAGATCTATTGTCTCTTCAGTTTAGTAGGCTTTTATTAGACTTATATAAAGGATGATGAGAAGGATAAATGTCCACCAGGCAGTTCAGATAGTACGGCTGTTTTTTGAACTGGAAGCAGAGGAAGTGGAAGGAGACTCACAGCCGGAGTCTGAGGCAAACAGCGAGGATGTTGATGACGAAGTGGCAGATCCATCCTTCCTCATAGAAGAGTTGGGTCATGATGAGGTAGAGGATGAAGGCAGAGATCCAGCTCCTCGGAGATCCAACAAGAGGAGTGGGCGGCGCCACGCAGCTGGCAGATCTCAGCATGAGACAGAGCCACCCCCCACTCCAAAATGCATGTTGATTATTGCCAAATTAATTAAATAAGTATAAATTCAGATAGTCCAGGTTGTCCTGAAAAAAATGATACCCCATAAGGCAATATTTGTTGTTTTTATTAGAAAATACAAAAGAATAACCAAAATGAGTCAAAAACAATGATTTACACCCTGGACCCCAGAGGGCTAATAATTTTTTTTTTTTTTTGTTATTTGCTATATTTATTCATATTTTTTTTATAAATATACAGACTAGATTACCATTCTAAATTATAAAAAACATTCGTCATAAATGTTTGTTGGTTTCACAGTAAAATAAACAACTTTTTTCCAATTCGGATTTTGTGTTTTTGAGTGATTTAAGGTCTAATATGCAACCCCTTTATGTCCAAATATAAAAAATAAGTATAATTTCATAAAGTCCAGGTTGTGCTGAAAAGATTGATACCACATAAGGCAGTGGTTATGGTTTTTATTTTGGAAATACAAAGGAAAACTGTAAATTAGTCAAAAACGGCTAAATACACCCTGGACCCCAGAGGGTTAAACCACCAGTACAAGCAGAGATTAGTATGGAAGCGTTTTACTGTGAGAGCGGGAAAGAAGTATAGTAGCAGTATCTCATAATAATAATAATGTTTCTATAACAACATCTAAAAGTTGTTTTTTTTTAGAACGTTTCAGGAATTAATGTGTTTAATATCCTTTAAAAATAGCCACGTTTACATGCGCTAAATTTCCCCAATCCGATTCAAATCTTGGCTGATCGGAAATCCCGAATCTCTGTTTACATGAACACTAATCCGATCATGCCGTGAGTTTATATGCACCAAGCATTCAATCAGACTTCATATTTTGTGCAGTTTTCTTTTCCGGAAAAAAAAATTGTAAACAAACGTCATGAAACAAAGTGGAAAATGTAAAAACATTAAAAAAAAAAAACAATTCTTCCTGCTTTCCTGATTCACTTAATCAATTCAATGTTTTTATTTTGCTCACATGAGTTGTTTTCTTCAGTGAATAATTGCAGATATGTTTTATTACTGAGCTCTGTTGTGGCTTATTATTAATAAAATGTGACAATCAGCTGAAACTGTTGAGAAAAATTGGTTCAAACTAAATAACAGGAGATGTTCAGAAAGTTTGGAAGCCTCAAGTGTTCATCATGTGTTCATCATGTGTTCATCATGTGTTCATAAACGAACCGCATCCCATCTCATCTGCTTTAACGTGCTTTTAGATAGTCACCCAGAATATTTAACTCAGGATGTGTTTCTGCTCAACATCAGCCTCCTTAAACTCAAACCAGGTCTGTTTAACCGATTGTCTTCTTTAGGAGCACGTCTCCATCCACCTGCTGCAGAAACAGCTGCAGCAAACCCCGCGATGAATCTGCGTGTTTCCAGTACAGACCTGAACGTGTTTGTCGAATTCTTATTTTACTTCCACAAAATGCAAATTCTTCATTAGATATAACTGAAACGGGGACTCCGTAGATTGTCTGGGGACAATCACCGTAAACCTGAGTGTAGTTTGAAAAGTTATTATTTATTCATGTATTCATCGTTGACAATAGGCTTTGTACTGCAGTGTATTGACAGTTGTTGAAAATCACATTTTTATTGGATCAATGAAAGTTAAAAGAATGGGCTCAAACTGGAAACCCACTCCTAAAATCTGAGGGAAATAATGTGCAGCTTACCCGCGTCAGGCTTCAGCCCAGCCTACACTTCCTCATCACCGCAACCAAGCTGCCCGTGATGTGCCGGATTCATAAAAACAGTAGTTGTGGTTTTAAAATAGGCTACTACTAATATACAGCCCTGTGGAACTCCTTTTGGATAGTTTGTTGGTCGGTTAATTTCCTTTTTCATTGTCTTCCCACAGAGAGCCTCGCAGAAGTATTCCACTGGTTGGGCTTCAGAGTGCTGATGTGTAAAGACCAAACCAGGGAGCAGATGAGGCACACGGTAGCGGGCTTAGCTTCGCTTAGCGATGGCAATCAGCTGCAGGGGTTGAGCGTTCAGGAGTGGAACGGCAGCAGGTTCACCGCTCCTCAGCAGGCTCTACAGCATGGCGATGCCTTCTTCTGCTGCATTCTGAGTCATGGAGAAAAGGGGGCGGTTTGGGGTACTGACCTAAACCCCCTCGCCATTAAAGAAATTACAAGAAGTTTCAAGGCGACTGAACAGTCAGCTCTCACTGGGAAGCCCAAAGTGTTCCTGATCCAGGCCTGCCAAGGACGTCAGAAACAGAGAGGGGTGATGTTAAAGGATGTGGAGACGGATGGAGGTTCACCGTCCATCCCAGAAGAAGCTGATGTTCTTGTTGCTGTTGCCACTGTTGAAGACCACCAAGCATTTAGACACCCAGTAAACGGGAGCTGGTTCGTCCAGTCTGTGTGTCAGCAGCTCAAGGAGCGCTGTCCCAGGTAAGTAATCACGTTACCCGAGTCTCTCCACTGGACTTGTAAGCTTGGTGTAACGTCTGTGAAGCGTTAATCCAGCACTTAGCCACCGTTAGAGCGGACAGATGTGTTTCTACCAGCTGTGACACCACCCGTCCCAGAAGCGTAGGGCCGGTTCACTCTGCTAATCTCATGATTTGAGTCTATTTTTTACGTGCTGCACTTCCAGAACGTGTCAAACTCAGCTGTTCAGATCGGGCCAGACAGGAAGTCTAACACGAAAGCCATGTAAAACATCTGGGAACTTTCAAAATAAAAGTCACGTTCAGATCCAGTTGTTTAACTAGTAAAACAAGTACGTAATGTCCTGTGAAACATCTGTAGCCGACGTAAACAGAACAGAGTAAACGACATACCTTTTTGGATACATACGGCCATCTTTCTCCTTGCTTGTTTTCACGTCAACCGCTGAAATCAAGCATTGCGTTGCAATTCTTCAGTCGCGTTTTAACCTCGCGACACCAGCTGCGTGGAACACTTTCCCTGTCGTTTCACATCTGAAACGCTCCCGGTGTGAAGGACGCTCCCTCGTAGAACGCGCCTTTTTCATCACACGCCGCTCACACATCCAGTGGAAGGCTGGGGTCAGCTGTAAAAACCTTTAACGTGTCCTCTCTTTCTGATTATCTGTCATCTGATGATATAATCAGTGCTGATGTTCTTTGTGTGACATACGTGTGATTTCAGTGGTGAGGACTTCACCTCCATCCTCCACTATGTGAATGGTGACGTGGGACAGAAAGAGGCCTTTAGCCAGCCTGTTACAGCCAAACAGATGCCTGAAGTGAGGTTCACACTGACAAAGAGACTTGTCCTGTCGCCACAGCGCATGTGAATCCTGATCGTCGAGGATCTTACAATCACTGCAGAAATTATAAGGATTTTATGCTTTTCTGAATGTTTTTAGTTCAATTTTATTTTTTATTACAGTTTTTGTTAAGTTACAACTTTTCCTGTAACACGTGAAAACAATAAAGCAGATCCAAAATCAAACCGGAGATTAAATTTACGATTGTTTACACACTCAAATGGAAATGATCTCACACTTGGCAACACAAGGAGCCATGGATGTAATTTTCACTTTAGAAGTGTGTGTGTGTGTGGGGGGGGGGGGGGGGGGGGTCTTTACAGTATGCTCTAATGGGAAACAGGCTTCAACACAAACGGTTGTTTTCCGCTTGGTCCTAGAGCTCAACCAGTGTCAATTTAATACAGCGTAATATTGTTTTTGGATGGTAAAAAGTGCAGGGGTCAAAACTTGATTTTGGAAAAAGTGGGGGGGGGACATGTCTCCCCCAAAAAATTTCGTCCATGCAAGGAGCTGAACAACATCTGCAGATTTACACATTACACAGAATGTCTTTTAGACACGTTTAGTGAAACATTACACAGTGAAACGACTACATACACATTCTCACACACACACACACACACATTGATGTGAAGTTATGTCCTTGTCAAAATTAGCCTGGCTGGATAATAATCACACAAACCAGGAGTGGAAACACGCTAAACTGAACACACGACATTCAGGTTTGCTTTAAGCAGCAGCAGGTGAGAGAAGAAGAGTGAGAATGATGAAGAGTAGAAGGATGAGGTAGAGGGACCTGAAGAAGAGATAAGAAGACAGTCTTTAAGGCCTGGTCCAGCCACATGATGATTACAGTTACAGTATTGTTGTTACTGGAATGATTTCATTTATCAGAGCCAGCTCCCCTGTTGCTAACCCCACACACACTAGCATTTAAAACAAAGATGAAGTTTTCCAACGCTGAAAAAAGTTCATCTAAAGCCCTTTTTAGAAGACGCACCATGTCATCAAATCGGGATCATTTATGGACCTTATTTATTTGACAAAAATCTAATTTCTGAATCTAAAGTCTTCAAGATGTTGCTTCAGCGCCTCACGGTTAGAAGTTTCAGGAAATCAATTTCCCTCTGGGATTAATAAAGTATTTTTGAATTGAATTTGAATTGAGTTTCCATCGTTTCCTTTGTGTGTCAGCAATGAAGTAAAGTCCAGATGCTTTTAATCAGGTTTTGTTTTAGGAAGCCTGTTGCTGTGTTATTGTAATTATATAACCTTGTTTTATTTAATTAATCAAATCATCTAATGACGCAGGTGATCCGTCTTTTACTTTCAGCACCGCGTGAACAGATGGCGATTGTAAATAAAGTGTGTCCTCCCCTCTCTTGTTGCTTGTGTAGTGACTGGCTCTTACGGTGTATTAATTTTTACCTTGAGAGGCGCTTCATCAAAGATCGTCTCCTCTTCTTTCTTCTTAATTGTGTCATGCCAAGCAGGTGTACCATGTGAAAGAAAAAGACGGATCACCTGCATCATTAGATGATTTTAATAAGTTAGAGCACCCTTTTCACAATCAGAGAAGCTAAAACTAATTACTATTTTGTTTTTTATTGTTCTACTTGGTTTCAAATGTAATAATAATAGCTTTATTCTTTTCTTGTGGCAATGCTCGTTCAACAAACGAGGATTAAAAAGTTTGTGTCGGTTTTTGGCTGCGCATCTACAAACACCTTTACGGTGTTACCGCCGCGTCGTTACCAAGACAACGTGGTTAGTTTTCGCTCTTTTCTCTCCTTTTCTACGAATAGAAACTGCTCCTAAATTAGACAACTCGACGCTGCGTTCCAGAAAATTCCTAAACCAAATAAAAGTAAAACAACATAATAAAAAGTCTGTCGCGTTTGAGCGACAGAGGGTCTTATTAGGGTCGGGAGATAAAACAGGAATTAGCATAATGGAGGCTAGCGATGCTAACGTTAGAGCCAAATCAGGGACTGAAGAAGAAAAACATCTGACAGCTTCTGATGAAGCCATCACATTTATGTCTTCCATTGGTAAGCTGCAAGTGTGTGTGTGTGTGTGTGTGTGTGTGTGTGTGTGTGTGTGTGTGTGTGTGTGTGTGTGTGTGTGTGTGTGTGTGTGTGTGTGTGTGTGTGTGTTGCCAACTGCACAAAAAGCTGCAGCTGGGGTTCAAACCTGCAAGGCAACAGTGCTTCCACCATGCAGCACCTAGACTCAGTAGCGGTTTTAGGCACGGGCAGACAGGGCAGTTGCCCGGGGCGGCATTTTTTCATGACACAAAAGGGGCGCACAAGCGCGGAGTAAAAAAAAAAAAGGAAATCTGCGCCGCACCGAGGTTTTCTATTATCTGTCATATGACAGTGTCTGGATTGGAAACAGCAAGTTGGCGCCCCCTGCAGTTGCAGGCGCTCCTGCTGACTGAGAACGTTCACGTGCACCGTGTGTCTATGAAGAACAGGAAGGGGAGGGGTGCGGCGGGGGAATTCACCTCTGCGTCTTTCCCAGATGAAATGAGCGTGCAGGGGCTGAATCAACTGTATTAACATGGCTAAAGTCAATCACATCTTAACGTTCTTCCATATTTCATTCATAATATCATAAACACAGGCCTATCATTCTTTCAGGTTTCTCTGAATTGTGTGAAATGGCCGAATAAAAAAAGGAAAAACAAAACGATTTTGTGTTCACCCCCCCATCAAGGTCAAATTGTTTAGTCCTGACTAAAGGAAACTTACTGAGTCAGGAGCCAAACAGAAGAGATGAACATAAAAAGGCTAAAACCACCAGGTGCCCGATTCAGGGGGAAAAAAAGAAAAAAGAGCAGAAAGATAAAGGTATGTAGCTCTCATGATGCATGTTTTCAATTTTTTGAACCAGTTAACTGGGATTTTAACGGTTAAATGCGGTCAACTAGTTGCTAACAGAGCTAATAGGGCTGAAATATTTAAACGAATATTCAAATGGTTCGAAAAAAGTCCTTGAATCGTTTTTTACTGATTCAAACTAGGATTTGTTAAATGCTCGCTGCAGCCTGTGGCCTGCCTGAACAACAACAAACATGTTGATCATGTTCACATAATAATAAATGAAACCACTCTACAAGCAGAAGAAAACACCCCAGTCACCACTAACTATCCTGTTTATTTATTGCAGATGGCTGCACTGATTATTTTTTACATGATTTGTTCTGTAAAAGTTGGCATTTTTGGTAGTCTACAGTTTTTTATGTCAGTTTAAATTACAATTTCAGAGGCAATTCTAAAATATTATGGATCATGAGATCTATTGGAGATCTACCCCAACTTTTGGACTGCTCTGCCAGTCACTGTGGCTCAAGCTGAGAGCAGCTTTTCAAAACTTGATCAAGTCATACCTGAGGTCACCTATGTTTCAGGGGCGGCTCACTAACCTGGCTCTGATTAGTATCAATCACTCAGTAGGGGGAGCAGATTTCATGTGATGACATTATTGATGATGTTGCATCAAGGTTAGGTTTTAATTTTAGTTTGTGTTTTCTGTTCTAAGTGCAATGCTGTAGTGATTATCTTTAGTTTGTTATGTGTGAAATATTTTTGCTATTTAGAATATTTATTATCTATTATGTTCATATATTCTTAATATTTAGTTATTGTTTGTTTTTGTATATTTGATTCTATATATTTTGATACAGTATATAATGTATAGTGCTTTACATTCTGACAACTTCATAGTAATTAATGTAAATATGTGCAACTTAGAAAAATGAATGTTCAATAGTCGTTCTAATAAACATGCCTGTTTGTAGAAAACATGCATGTGTTCATGCAGGTGGGGTGGTGTGGTGGTGGTGGTGGTGGTGGTGGGGGGGGGGGGGGTTGGGGGGGGGGGCGCTCAAAGGGGGCCTCGCCCGGGGAGTAATTCGATGTAGAACCGCCACTGCCTAGACTATTTGTCACTAGTTTTCTTGTCAATCTAAAACATCACCATTCATTTCAAGTGTGAGCACTGTGAATAGCACTATCTCTGTTAGCCCCGTTGGTAGTGTTGTGGTTGAAGGTAATATAAAGATTTATCCCTCAAACCGTATTTATAGCTGACTCGTGTTTAACCTGGGTCCTTCCACCAGAGCCTGCGGAGCTACAGAGGTGTGTGTTTTCAGAGTCTCTGGCGGTGATGTCAGAGAATGGCAGTGACCTTGGGACCTTCAGTGTATCTGTGGAGTTTTCCCGCAGAGCCCAGCAGCCTTGCGTGCTGCTGCATGCTCAAAGCCAGGGAGTCATCGATGGTTGCCCCTGTGGGACAACGGTCACAGGTGAGGACGAGGTCATCGCTGATTTACACTAACAGGTGTGTTTAGCATGATCGTGCCATGTCTTCTGCTGTGTCTGATTATGTAAGCCTACATAAGTGTTGAACTGGAGGTTCTGGAGGAGGACTACCATGAGTACGTTGAGGTGAGTCACATGATCATTTACCATCACTAACAGTAAGAAACTAGCATGCTTACCACCAACACCCCAAGAACCGCTTTTTCATCAACACGCCTTCAGCTGGAGGGTCACAGTGTGGACAAGAAATGTTACCTGGTGCAGCATGACGGGCAGATGGTGATCAGCAAAGTTACCACTGTTGGACATGTAAGAGATGATCGCTACACTTAAGAGGACTTCTGTCTGGGATGTCAACAAGCCAGCTAGTGGCGTTATGATCTGCTGTTTCATTTTGTGTCTGAATGTGTGTAAAGGAGGAGACAAAAGAGAGTGTCTGTTATCCCATGACTGCCCTGAGGGGGCTGGTCACTGAGGGCTCCAGCCTGCTGATGATGCGTCTGATCGCTCTAAGGAAGAAACTTCCCAAGAACATGAGCTTTGTCTCTTTGGACCAGAGATTGCAGACCAGCCACACCACTTTTGTGAGTTTATATCCTCCAACATCATCGCTGACTTTCTGCATAATGAACTGTATATTTATTCTGGTATGAGGTCAGAATGAGCTGGGTTTAAAGCAGCTGGAGATTGGTGGTGAAGTCCTGGAGGGGTTTGGAGTACAGAGGACTGTTCACTGTGGGGAGGACACCCCTGCTGCCTGGCAGTGCTACCTGCTTGATGATGGGTGAGTTCATGGACTTTCCAGATGTTGGGGTGAATCTCAGTGAATAGGACCGTGCACTAATGTGTTACTGGTGCATCACTTCTAACAGTCACAGAAAACTTGCTATCAAAATCTAAATGTAACTTATCTTTTTACAGCAGCTCTCAAGATAAAAATCACAAGGCGCTTTACAAGAACAAAAAATTCAAAATACAGAAAATCTTCAAAAAATGATTACAAATATAAAAATAATAATAAGAAAATAATAATAATAAAAATAAAGAATTGTGATTAAAAACTGAAAGGCAAGGTAAAGAGAAAATGAATAGGAAAGAGAGAAATCAGTGGATCCCGGCCAGGAAATGCGGAACTGGTAGAAAGAGCAGAATAAGGAGAGGGTGATGAAGGTCACACCAAAGCCAGCATGAACAAGTAAGTTTTCTGTTGCTTTTTAAAGGAGACCACTGAGTCCACTGATCTCAGGCTCAGGAGGAGAGAGATCCAGAGTCTGGGGGCCACAGCAGCAAATGATCTGTCACCTTTGGTCTTTAGCCTGGTGCTGCACAACCAGTAGGCTTTGATCACTGGACCTCAGGGACCTGCTGGGGTTGTAAGGACTGAGAAGATCACCAATGTATGATGGTGCTTGTCCATGTAAGGCCCTAAAGACCAGAACCGAGAGAGAACAGTGAAAGAACGCTCAGATATGAGGAGAACCACTCCAGAGCAGATCCTGATAGGCCTACCCAGTCTCTCAGCCTCTAGCAGGTGATGGTCAACAGTGCCAAAGACTGCCATCAGGTCCAGCAGGACCAGAACAGAACAGTCCCCTGCATCACTGTGAGTCAGAAGGTCATTAGAGACCCTAAGAAGAGCAGTTTCAGTAGAATGAGCTCTACGAGAACCTGACTGGAAACTCTCATAGATGTTATGTTCATCAAGAGCAGCTGTGAGTTGTTTAGCCACAACCAAAGTTTAGAGATGGGTCTGAAGCTGCTATAGAGAAATGGGTCAAGACTGTTTTTTTGTGTTTTTTTTTTGTGTGGGTACGTTACAGCGTTCCCTAACCTTTAAAGTAAGCAGGGACCTGACCAGAAACCTGAGAAGCATTAATTATAGAGGGCACACTGGGACCGATCATCGTGGGACTGATCATGTCTGTCTTCATCTGAAGAACTTCTTGGTGTTTTAAGACCAAACGTTGGGAACACGTACCTAAAGAACTTAATGACATTTAAAATTTTGAAATTCTAGCAGGGTTTGACTTGTGGAGCTTAGCGTGGGCAGTGTGACGTTTCAGACACAAGGTTCTTCCAGGTGCTTGAAATTCCTGAGAATACTTGAGGACTAATTTCATTTTGAACATGTTGGATTTTTAAGGGAGTTAATCTGTCTGGTATATTACTGTCATATTTTTATGGTTCATGGAAATAAAACAACGATTTTTGAGCAAATATTCATTGTTGACCTATAATGACATGTAACACACTGCCCTCTAGTGTTGGGACCTGGTTACTGTAGGAACATTCTCTAGGTTTGTTTGCAAATGTCAAATTCACAGCTAATACTCAAACTAATTGATGTTCTTCTGCTGATATGGCTAAGGCATGTGAACTATAAAGGTTGAAAATAAACAAGAAAACAGATTTGAGCTCATATGGCAACTAGGATTAAAACATTATTAAAGCAGGAGATTTAGATTTGACCCTAATCAGGGACAGTAACGAGTAAAAGGAGGAAGAAGGGCGCGTACAAATGGCATAGCATGTTGAGTGCTTTCCTTCTCTGTAGATCACTTTGCAAAACTGGATTTATATTGTTCTGTCATAAAAATCAAGCATGTGGTTTTGTGTCCTTAGGCACTTGGTCAGCAGGATGCAGGTGGGATCTCCCGTCACTATGAAGCTTGTGCTGCTGCCACCAAAGACAGAGAAAAGTAAATATTTTAATACAGACAGGAAAAGGTTTTGTATCTTCTAATTAAAGAAGACTCATGGATGCTGTTTGTGTGTGGATTAGACTTCGAGAAGATCCCTCTTGCATGGGAAGAAGACTTGCAAATGGTGTCTGAGTTCTCAGACAGAAAGGTGAACACACAGTAGTGTACTTTCATTCATGCAGACTTTACTACTCGAAAACACTCTCTGAAGAGTTTGTTGTGACAGGAGGAGCTGAAGGCGGACCATACTTCATATCTGAGACAACACCCAGAGATCAGAGCCCTCCTGTCTGACTTCTTGCTGTCGCTGCTGCTGAGGAAACCAAATAATGTCTTTCAGTTTGCCAGAGAGTACTTCCTTCCTTTCGCTCCTCGCCGTTCTCCACAGCCAAACCTGAATGCTCAGGCACAATGAAAACATTTCACCCTGTCGTTTTGGTTTAAAGTCCACATGTTGCTTATTGTACATTTTAAGTTAGAGTTTAATGAAGAGTAAAAAAAAAACGTATTAAACTGTGGGGATGTAGGAAGCGTGCTTAAACAAATGTAATAAATTATTCTTTTTTTTAGACACTGTTGGACTCGTTCATGTCTGGGCTTGAAGCTCATCTGACAACTCCTAAAACCGGAAGTACACCGGTCCCCTTCAAAATAATGTCCGTAAACTAAACATAACAGTCCTTCGTTTTTGTCTAACTGTTTTTTCTTGTTTGTTTTTATCTTTATATCTGTTTTTCTTTGGTGTAAAGCTAATTATATGTCTGTTGCAGCTGCCTCTTGGCCAGATCGCTGTTGTAAATCAGAATGAGTTGTCAATCGACTCATCTGGTTAAAAAGCTTTTATTTTGTTAGGACGGAAATAAACGTAATATCCTCTGAAAGTGAAAGGTGACAGACGACGGGAACCTAAAACAACTTCAGCCAAACTCGATTAAAGTTTTACTCTGAGGCAGAACTAAAGTAACGACCCGCTGAGCGACATTTCTCCCTCCCGCCTCTTTGATTCGGACTCGGACAGGTGAGTCTTCCTGTTTCGGCGTTCTTCGGTGCTCAGAAGTCTCATCACCTTGTTATATCAATGTAAAACAATTTATATTAATTTTATAGCGCGCCTCAGTCATGAATGATAAAAACGTGTTAAAGTTTGGGAAGAAGTATTTATTTTTAAATTACGTCACCACGTACATTTGCGTAAAACTAGCAGGAAGTAAAAAACAAAAGTTTTGAAACTATGAATCAGTTATATAAAACAGTTTTATTCAAATAAAAGTGTTGTTGATCTTAATGATATGATTATTAAACATTTTCCTCTTTTTATGATTTTAAAAAGTTTCCTGTTTGTGACTAAAAAGATCTATAGATATGTAGCCAATGTTTCTGGGCTTTCCCCACATATCGTTCTTGCTTTTTTGTTCTCATCTGGCAGCTTTGATCTGAGAGTTGGTGGTGTGCTGGTGGCAGGAGATGGACCGGTATCTGCTGTCCCGTATAGATGATGACCTGGAGTCCTCTGAGGTTGCAGAGCTTTGCTTCCTGTGTGGTGACGTTGTCAGCCGGAAGCGCCTCGAGGGGGTGAGAATAGTTTAGCCTCATTGTCTTTGTAGCAACATGAATATTAAAACATTAAATAGAGGAAACAAGCTAGTCAACATGCCTAATGTAGATCTCTTGAAGCAGAGCCGGCCCAAGGCAAATGCGAACTAAACGACTGCTTTGGGCCCCCACATCACCAGGGGGCCCCCAGGAGTACCAAGGTGACATGAGTAAAAAACAATGTATTTGTATTACTTTCTATAGTGTCATTTGGTTTTAGTTTGTAATGTAGCACACTTTACACATGTTTCAAAAATTTAAAACCTAAGATAGTAAACCAAAGTTTTTTACTGTAAATTCAGTGTTTGTCTGCTGATGTTTTTTTCAAATAGCTGAATTAATAAACTACACTTAATTCATTCACTGCCAAATGATGACTAAAGTCGTCATTTGCATTTTTTTTTTTACTGTGTGGGCATCGGAACGAGCCCCTGCACCATGAGAACAAACATCTCAGCTCTAAAGCCGATCTTCATCCGCATACGTCACACGTCAGGTGATCAGGAAGCAGAAAATCCATGTGTTAGGAGATCGTTTGGGGCTGCTGCTGTAAAAACAAGTGAGGCGCGAACCGGAAAAGCGTCTGCTGATCACAATTCAACGACGGATTACGAAAGAACAGATAACGCTCGAAACATGCGGATTCTTCCTGATGCAAGAGGTGAGTCTTTGCTTTGTTTTGGTTATTTTGGCGTCGACATCATTGGCGCGCAACGTTCTGTGACTTAAAAAGAAACAGTAAAAATGGTGAGAAACGCTGGCAGCGAAGGGCTTTACCGATCAGGAAATGGCTGGCAGCGAATGAGTTAAAGGGACTTTAAAGAGTTTTGAATTTTAATGCTCGTGATTGCCCCCTCAGGCCAAAAGCGTAATGGCAGCATTAATAGTAGGCTCGTGCACGAGGCGCGCATGCTGTACGTGCACACTCCTAAACGAAAATAACAGCTGAGACGAAGCTCTGTGAAGCTGAGGGGGTCAGCTTCACAGAGCTCTGAGAGCTGATAGTCCCTTGTGTGTGTGTGTGTGTGTGTGTGTGTGGCCCGGAGGACAGAGGACAGGAGAACGCGCGGCTAATTAATTAAATAATTTGGTTCCTTTCTCTTCAGCACAGCCGACAAAGGTTTAAGATGGGTCAGTCTTCCTGCATGCTCAGATTTCCCTTGCTTGAAAAATTGTTCCAAAATGAAAGTTGAACCCACATCTTTTTTATCTGTGAATTCAATGCCGTTGGGCGAGTCTCAAATAAAAATTTGGGCATATTACCGTAAAAAAATATACCATTAATGCAAAATAGAGACTCTAACAAAACCATATTCACTTGGAAAATCGAACCCGGGTCTTCTGCATGGGAGCACGTCGTCTTACTAAGTGAGCTAAATCGCCAGTAACATCTTTTGTATCTGTAATATTGATATCCTTGATGACACCTGAAACAACGTTCAAAGAACGGTTCGGAGCGAAAATGGCTATTTTGTTGCTAATTTGCAGGAAATATCTAGAAGAAAGTAGCTAAGGGTCCTCAGAAATGTAGCTAGATTCATCACTAGAGGTTAGGAACAGCAACAAAGTCGCTGAGTTGGCACTGCCTCTCTCTCTGCTGCTAAAGCTACGGATAGCAAATGCTACGGGCTATGCCTGAGCGTGAACATGCATGAAGCAGCCTGCTCGACCCGAGCAGCTCTCTTTTTCTGTGATTTTACAGAAAAACAGGCAATCACAGTAAAAATGCCAGGGCTCATTCTACAGGACCAGGGCATTGCAGGAGAATGTATGAAGAAGACATTTATTATTTCTATACGTGTTTTGGCTGTCAAACTTCCATAATGCCCCTTTAAATAACACTCTTCATTTTAAAATGCTAATTAATTAGAGTGTGGTTTGCTGCCCCGATAAAGTTCAAATCAATATCCACAATAACACCAGATCGATGAGAGCTCATTACAAAGGATGCTAATGATAGTGGGCATGTTACACAAATGGTGCAGCTTAGGAATAATGAATCATCTGGTGTTGACTTTTTGGATTGGGGGGCCCCCAAGGGAAACCTGTTTAGGGCCCCACAATGGCTTTGGCCGGCCCTGTCTTGAAGTGTGTTTTGTAAATGTGCCCTTACAGATTGTGGATGCAAAGGGGCTGTTTATGAGACTGGAGGAGAAAGGTCTACTGGACAACCCTTCGTTCCTCTGCCAGTTGCTCCAAACTATCCATCGAGCGGACCTCACCGACCTGCTGGAGGCCAACAGTAGACCACAGGAGGAGACAGATGCTCTTCCTGTCCTGTCTCAGTACAGGTAAAAACAGGATTCTGGCTCAGCAGCATAAAGCTGTAGAAGAAGGTTTATTCCATAATTGTCACAATGTTTTAATCTCAGTTTTTTATCACAGTTTGCATAAACTGCAACAAAACTTAATCGCAAAGAAAAACCCAAGCACTCTCTGTGAGGTCGGGTCAAACAGATGGACCAAAATAAACCCAGGAGCTTGTTCCTAAATGAGGGTAGAAGATCATACTCATGTATGTACCGGGTAATCCCAACACATCTGGGGTTTCACTCAACAATCCTCATTAGACATGGGATGTGTTAACCATGAGCCTTTTGGATGGGAGGTGAAACATCTCCAACGAGAAGAGAAGATTTTGTTTATCTTTAACTTTAACTTAATTCCCCAGATGAATGAGAGTCTACTACACCAACATACCTTCTGATTATTATGTACAGTTACCTTTTTGTGTCTGGCAGGGTGATGCTGTACACGATACATGAGGATATGACTACAGAGAGTCTGGACAAGATGAAGTATCTGTTGAACGACAAGTTGAACAAAAGACAGCTGGAGATGAGCAGTGTGAGAACACACACACACACACACACACACACACACACACACACATACATGCATGCAAGAATTAATGAGATGTTCTCCTTTGTTTTTTTCTGAGTGAAGCACTTGCTACATTAGCATCATGAATGTCTAGTTACCAGTGGGACACCGCTCTTGTCTAATTATTGCATTTGAGTTTATAGAATATTCTGCTGTCCTCACATTTTTTAATGCACTTAATTCTTAAACAAACTCACAATAGAGCTCGGGACGTCAAGTGACTCTCAGAGAGTAGACGCCATGTTGGCAGGCAACAAAGGTAAACAAAATGAACGGGATCGGCTTGGATTTTACTTCGTCGGAGTTTACTTCACACTTTAAAACCGAAGAAATCATTTTATATAGTCAGAAATTAAATAGACTAAACATCTCCGACCCTTACCGTGCCCCTGGGATACTTTATAAAAACGCCAGAAGCTGTCGGCGCGGACTTCTTACGGACCTGGCCGGGGAAACCCTTGGGATTCCCCCGGAGGAGCTGGCCCAAGTGGCTGGGGAGAGGGAAGTCTGGGCCTCTCGACTTAGGCTACTGCCCCCGCAACCCGACTCCAGATAAGCGGATGAAAATGGATGGATGGACAAATAACAGATTTACACGTAAGTAGTTTAAACAGAGTGCTGTGCTGTTTGAATGTATAAACTGAACGCCAAGAGAAATCACTAGTTTGATTGTTTTCCGTGAATAAAATAAATATATCAGGCAGGAGCGTCTCAGGATCTGTCTGAGATCTGTCTCGGTGAGACAGATAATAGCAATCCAAAGTGCTTTTTATGTGTGATCTGACAATTGATCAACCATTGCTTAAAAATTAAATACAGCTTAGCCGGTTAATTGCTGTGATCATAAAACACGTAAACGGCAGCACGCAGAACTCACGAGGCAACGTTTTACGAGATGTTTACTTATTGCTATGAGTAATAAGACAGAAAAAGCCACGCCAAAATAAGTTTAGGAAGCCCACTAAGAATCATAATAAAAGCATTTAAAATAAATACCATACACAGTTGAGGAAACATTGGTTTAAGTACCTGATATGAAGTGGTCGCTGCATAAGCGAATCCTTTACTCTCGGGATCCCACAGCTTCATTTTCGCCCGGTCACTAGCGCGTTTTATTACAATGATCCAACGTTTGCGGCGCTCCGGATCTTGGGGAATCCTGTAGACGGCTCATTCCTTATGTCGTCCGCGTCTGTTCTGCATCCTGGGGCACAACAGGAATCTACCGTATTTCCCGTTTGATTGAGTTTTCTGACAACAACAAATAGTCCAGCTGCGGGCTTCTGCCTGCCAAGATGGTGCAGTTTCAATTTGAACTGTTGCCTGCCAGGAGAAGTGACGTCAACTCCCGGAGCTCTATTGGAACAAAACAGAGTAGTGCGTTGATGATGCAACATATATGTGTGTATATATATATATATATATAAAATTCTGTGTTTCTGAGACGAGTCACTGTCTAAACATCACATGCATTACTATCATTAAGCAGTGAGGTGTGTTGAAGCTGTCATCAGCTAAGGGGCGGATGCTTAAATGCATCAGGGGCAGCTAGGAACGAGGAAGTTGTGATCAGGCTGGAGATCACACCAGATTCGCTGCTGCAGGCGTGAATCTGCGGGTCTGCAGCATCCCCTTATTAACTTGACAGCAGAACTTCCCATGTAAGGAAGGTCCGCTCACCTGTTCGTCAGATCATTTCCTCGCCATGATCTTTTATCTTCCCATCATCCTCCAGTCATCCAACTGGAACCAGTTAGTGTTCCTGATCATTCTCAGAATATGTCACGCCTGCTCTGGTGTTAAAAGTTAGTACATTTAAGTCCTAGATCATATTTGTGCCTGTTCTACTGTTATTTTGAAGGATTATTATTTATATGTGTGTTTTTACTACATTATGAGTAGAGATACTAATAAAAACTCCCAATTATACAAACAAGTGAAACTGGAAAAATTAGAATCTGGTGCAAAGTCAAATTTATTTCAATTATTCAACTAGACAGAGAAACTATTTAAAGGCTCAGGAACCCTTTGCAGGTGTTTTCTATTTGTAATTATAAATTTTAGTTGATTTGGGTCTTGTTTCATATCACACAGTGACATTTGAATAATTAAAATGCATTTTTTTAAATGATTTAGTTTACAGTAATAACCATGTCTAATGTTTCATTCTCTGCCTCATAATTTTAATTAAAAGTTTTGCTCTGAGAGCACATTTTCCTGAATGATTAAAATGCGATTAATTTAGATTAATTAATTACAAAGCCTCTAATTAATTAGATTAAAATTTTTAATCAAGTCCCAGCCCTAATTTCAACCCATTTTCTAAAGTGCAGCATTATGTTAAATGCACTGGGTTTTACCCTATTAAATTTAAATTTCATGGTTAAACAGTACATATTAAAATCTAAGCTCAGCTCGGCAGTGACCTAAAATACATAAATATAATTTTACTTACCGAAAAAAATGAAGTGGAGACTCCTTGGACGCTCTTATTAGTGCAATTAATGCCACAGCAAGTCATTTTGTCCAACAATTGCATAAATAATATCCAAAAAAGAACGCACAAACGCTACAACTAATGATCTAATTTGAGAGACTGAAAATGGCGGAACAGTTTTCAGGCGAGGCAGAGGCTCAGACTGAGGCCTTTACCCGGAGTTAGCTCTGCGGTCATGTGAGTCTGATGCTCATTAATTATACAGAATTTGAGGCTTTTAATACACTTAAACAGAAGAGTGACAAAAAATTCACCCCCCTCAGAGTTGTCATGAGTGTAAACTAGATCATTTAAACCAAAAACGTGTTGGTACCAGGCTGTAAACATGTTTATTTCTGCTGTGTAATTGGTATTTTTAACATGGGAGTCAATGAGGATTTGCCCGCTTCTGACACCAGCCCCCAGCGGATGAGGGTGGAACTGCAATTTATTTCACTTCCACATTGGCCTCAATTTCTGTCCTGCATTGTGGGGGCTTGGTCAGGACCCGCACGGGGCCGGCCAACCTCGAGCCCCCAGGCCCCCACCCAGACCTACTCAGCCGCCAGGCAGCGGCCCATGGCCACCGCCAAGACCCCCAAGGGACCCCACGCACCACCGCCAGTAGTCCAGCCCCCAAGGCAACCCAACCACCTCCAGAGGGGGGCAGCAGCCCCCCAGCCCCAGACGCCCCCAGTTAACCCACCCTCAGGGAACGTCCGGATACTCCAAGCTCAGACCCTTCACCCCACCACCCATATCATCCCGCAGGACAATATCAATGACCCCCCATCATCGCTATGTGATGGAACCGATCAAAGGAGCCCAAAGAGATTGACTTGAAGTGGAAGCAGAGGCTGTATCAAGTGCACTAGACATTTTCCTAAAAAGCCTTTTTTTTTTACACCACATCGTTTCTCAACTTCTCTGTTGTGCATTCTCTCCATCGTGATAATAACGGCGCACTGAGCAAAAGGGAGCGGGTGTCTCATAGTATAACCATCACTGAAGGAAATTCAGATGAGCCACAGAGCTGCATGTGTAAAGGGGATGGTAGTTGAAACTCCTGATGACTTTATTTGCCAAATGCAGGAAAAGCCAAAGTGTCTGACGGCTGCAGAAGCAGAGATCGCAGGTTGACGCCTGCGCCATCTCTAGTAGAAGCGTGAGCCTGCAGCAGCAGTAGATGTAAATCGGCGGTCTCCAGCTCTGCAACTGTACCTTTTTCTTCGGCAAATCAGCCCGGCCGAAAACGGTTTATGATTGGTCAGTCCTCGTGCACATGTGCAGATTATAGTTCTCTTTCATTACTCCCGGAAGAACGGTTCAGAGTGCAAATGGTTTCTTTGTTGCTAATCTGTGGGGAATATCTACAAGAAAGTTCTACAGAAAGTAGCAAAGGGTCCTGAGAAATGTTGCTAGGTTTGTCGCTAGGCGCTTTTTGGAAAAAAAGTCGTTGAGGGGGTCAAGAAGTTGTTAGGAACAGCGACAAAGTCGCTAAGTTGGCAACACTGGACTCAACTCTGTCTCTGCGCATGCAAATCTCTCCCTGCTCTACTCAACAAGTAGCCTCTCCACCAGTCAATCACAGGCAGCTCTCTTTTATCCAATAAAAGCATGCCCAGGAAATACTGCTTTACAGAAAAACACCCATTTAACAGATCATTGAACTGCTTTCTGCTGCTGGTTAACTACCAGTCACCATCCACTGTCTGCAAAATACTTTGTTGTAATTCATGTGTCATGATTAGGGTGACCATATTTGACTTCCAGAAAAGACACATTGCCCATTCCTAAAACTGTTAATTTGCACTCTTTTCAGTTAAAGAGGACTTTTAATTTCAACATATAAAGTGTTTCTTCTCTGTTTGGTTAGACATAAATGATCCCTTGATGTGTTAAAGGAAGTGAACAGTGGAAATGTCCCAGGAAAAGAGGAGGGTTAATCAACCTAATTAAATATAATTATATGAAGTCCTCTTTATCTGAAAAAAGTGCAATTTTCCTGGCAGTATTTCCTGGACATGCTTTGATTGCATAATGGAGAGCTGTCTGATTGGCTGACGGAGAGGCTACATTGCTTTGTAAATTGCAAATTGAGCAACAACAGGGAGATTTGTGCAGGCAGAGACGGAGTTGAGCATGAGAGAGAGGGCTGCACACGACTGCAGAGCAGGTTGTGCTCTTGCAGATTGCTCACTGCACGCTCCAGTTGGTGGCACAAAAATTACTCCACACTAAAAACCTGAACCAGAATATGGCCGAATGTGTATATTATTGACCGTTTTTCTATATTATATATTTTTTCTATAGTATATATTAAATTATAGGTACATATATGTATCTATAATATAGTAAACAGCCAGTTTTATATATGTCACGTGTATTCAAAAGCTATATCAAAACATATATTAAAACCTATATGTTTATGAATTCTTTCCATGTGGGTTGTCACTTGCTTAATATTTCCTATGTTTACCAATGGTAAAGAAAGGAGATATTGTACTCATCTAACTTTAACATAAATTTTGGCAGCTTAATGTGACGCTATGGAAAATGCCATCATCATGAGCAACCAAACATAGGCTACATTAGGCTAACAGTTGTCCATATTCTGTCCCATTTATCCACCAATGGCTGTTTCAGTTATTGTGAGTGAAAACTAAATGGCATAGTAGCATTTGTTTTGGCATTAGAAATTGAAAATGTTTTTCAATGTGTTGGCTAGATGGATATACGAAGATTTTTTTAAGAGAGTGAGTGAGGAACAGGAGAGAGACCAGGTGGTTGATGCTGAGGAGATCTGCATGGTCAAGGTCAGTGATCTACAGCGAAAACAGGGGCGAGCGCACCGTTATGAGCATTTACCCGAGCACAAAGTTCCCAAGCAAAACTGAACAGTTTTCTATTTAGGAGTGAACAGGTAAGAGACCTTGAGAAAAAAAAACTATAATTATCATCTTACCTGCAACCTTATGTCAAGTTGTATCTGTATAGTTGACTTTCTGTATTATAAGTTCTACTACTTGCTGGATATTTTTATATATACTGTTATTTTGTCTTGTAATTGTTAATTACATACTCCTTTATTCCATGTCATATCAGTGTTATTCATATATTAAAACTGTCAACTGCACACTCATTTGGCAGAGTAAAAGTTTGACAATTATTCATTTGTTCTTTATTGTCACATTTCAGTAGCATTTATAATTAAGCAAGTTGTAATTAAACAAATTAAATAAATGACCACAACATTTCCCCCTGTTAAGTGCAGTAGACTGAAATTAATAGCTTTATTTGGAAATGTAACATATCTAATTTTTAATGGACTTATATAAAATCTTTCTTCAACATAGACCCCACTAATGAACTGATTGTTATTTTTTATAAAAAGAAGAGAGAAAATGCACAAAGGTAGGAAAGGAAAAGAAAGTGATAAAATAATAGGTTTTGTTAAATGTTCTTCGTATAATGAATTAATTAACAAAGTTTTTGCAGGGTGTGACAAAAAATGTTCAAGGTCAAGCTCCTGGTTCTAAGCCCCCCCCCCCCCCCCCCCCCAATCTCTCAACCCTAGTGACGCCCATGCTTAATGGAGCTTGCTTCTTGGACACCTTTAAAATGCTCCAGAAATGTCTTCCTTCCTCCACAAAATCTTAGGTGCGCAAATGCGTGCTGCAGCTATTTTTCAGGTGCGCATTGTTCATTTTGACAGCGCATGCACACCTGCAGACCACTTATGTGCACACCTGTTTATAGTTAATAATCAGTATATGTTTTTATAATATGAACATGTTTATTTTTATTTATTATTGACAGCAGAACAGTTTCCTTTAAACCCTTGTTATTGCAACAGAATCACAGCAAACCTGTTGTATCCGGAGGTAGTTTTTTGCTTGCTTTAACTCCCCCTAGTGACCATTTTAAATCATTGCCGTAAAAACAAACTGTCTTCCCCTCCGCTTCACTGTGCGCCCAAGTTTTCAAACCAGCTGACAACATATTAAAGTTATCCATACAAGCGCAGTAGCATGTTTGAGAAGTCTGCGTCCAGTTTGAACCATTGTCCGTCTCGGAGCTCTCTCTCGTCATTCAGAAAATACTTTCTCGATGTTGACTCTTGTTTGACCCCTCCTGCAGTCAGATGTTTTTTCTCTTTATAGCTTCATCTGATGAATGTTTTCTTTGTTTCGTTGGAGGCTCTGCCCTGATGAACATGTTAGAATAAACGCTCACCATCTCTAGCTCTTCCGTTCTCAGGC